TCACACAGAATGTTATGTCAGTAGCCTATAAACAAGAGAGCAATGCTCAATTATTTAGACACGAAAGCCAAAACGAAGTGGTACGGGTTTTAAATCTTTTGCAGTACCGGCACCGTGGTCTTCTCGACTTCGACTTACCACCAGAAACGCAATAATCGCGAACGCCACAAAGTGCGTAGTTTTTAATTTCGACGACCTTATCACACAAAAATTCATAGATAAAACGAAACCCATTGAGGTCACAAAAATGTTCGAAATAAGTAAAAGTAACAGCCCTTTAGCGACAAATACAGTCTTTGACCACTGTGCAAAGCAGTAGGTAAAGAGAAACGCAAGTTCTTCACAACAACAATAACAACGTGATAAAGAAAAGAAGAATACCATCACCAACAAAAAAATACAAAATGACGAACGATCACCATAGGTTCATTTCGAGGTTGATGGAAAACTTTAGAATTTGCTTACAGCAATGTATTGCAACTTGATCACTGAACCAATTGCTTTGACATGTTAAATGGTAGATTGTATTTTTCGCTAGAAGGCCATTACTGTTAGTTATTTCAAAAATTTATGTGGGCTCTATGGGATTCGTTTTTTGTGTGGAATGACGTCATCAAAATTGAAAATCGAGCACCTTGTGGGGGTTGCGCGTTTGCGTTCGTTGCTATTTGATGGTCAGGCAAAGTCGTGTCGACTCCGGTAACGATAGTCTACTGTGACAGATTTCATACCCGTACTTCTACGTTTTGGCTTTCGTGTCCATATATTTGAGAATTGCTCTCTTGTTTATGTACCATGCTATTACACAGAACCTCGTCACACAAAAGTTCTGTAAAATCGAACACTTTTATGTAATATCTCTCCCGCCCACGTGCACATAAATTCTTTTCAAGTCGGATTTACCGATTATAAATATTACTAGTAGCGTAGCAATTTGTGGCATCTTGCTTGTGGATGTGTAAGTAACACAACGCAGTGTGGCGTCATTCGAAATTTTTAACGGGGCGTTAAATATAGAACGTTCCAAACTGCACCATTGAGAATTTTCAATTCTGAATGAATAATTCAAATTTCTGTCAATTCTTTGACATGAGTTCCTGTCAATACTTGTTGTGCTTTAGTTTTATGCACTTCGGGGCATAAAACGCAAGAGTTGAAACAAGCCCAAACAACGTTTTCTTCTATCAACTCAGCTCTCCAAAACCGAATTTAGTTTGTGTGGTTTCCGCGGCAATACTGAAACTTCCGTAGTATTTTATCGCGAACACAAGCTTGTGACTAAGATCTTGATTAATGATTAAACTTGAATGAAGCATAGGAGCTCGCCAATGCAACGTGCATACAAAAAAAACTCTTGATTGTTTATTTAATCTCAAAATAAAAGTTCAGAAGAATAAATTATATCGGAGATGAGACTATGATATATCTTTAGTATTAGAGCAGTAGAAATATGCATGTAGATCTTACACACAGGCCACTAAATAAGAAGAGCGCGTTGTTTAGTGAGACCTGGTAACCCGGCAGTTGGCACTCTAGTGTCGTATGAAACACTATCCGCTAATTTGTATTCTTGACCCACACTTAGTCGTTACCGCAGTCAAAAAATAGGCGATATGGCGTTGTCATAGAAATATCAATAAAACACGGTTGGAACAATCAGAGTAACATCATCAGCATGTTAAAAAATTTGGGTTTATTTACCCACTATAATTTATTGATTGTTTTTTATTTATATATGTATTGTGGAAAGGCTATCCAAGAGAGAGAAAGAGTTAATATTTATGGTTACCCAACTTGTGTTTTCCCCACACATCACATCGCAGTTCAAACACTTACTTATATTCCTTTCATTTTGCGGTGGTTAATCCGGTAATGATTACGTTAATTAAATAGGGTCATTACAATCGGAAAGAATTCTTGTAATATATTACAATGCGGAAGTCACCGAGTTCATATTGCAGTTGTTAAATATCACATCAAACGCAATTGTGCGATAATTGTTTAACAGATAGATTGACCTCACACTTCGCTGCTGCACACTGCCGCGATATTACGCGAAAGGAAAACTTGAACAGCCATAAATCAATATATAAAGGTTACGGTGCATCAGTGACGAGTAATTCCAAGCCGCAAGGGATCAGAGGACACGATTAGAACTTAGCACCATAAGTATAGATAACTGTAGCTGAGCTAGCCAATAAGTGTACTTATCCCAGAAATTTGAAAAAATACAGAAATGCATAAAGTGTTATTAGAGGTAAACTTTGCATATTGAAGGCCAGGTTTTCACCAAATATCTGTAGTAAGACATGATAGAATAGAATGCTTTACAACAACCTTGTTTGTGTTACATTATACGGAGCAATGTTGCTTTGCCATTCCTTCTGTTTCAACACCTGAAGGGCGAGGGTAGAGACCTAACTTTATTCAATCCCAGCCTACTTTCATTGCAATAAACATCGATATTATCAAATACAGGTTAAGGAAATTGGGACTTTCAGTAAATCTTATTCAAGTGCATACAGGAGTACATATACAAGTACATACATGCAGGATTAGACATAGTATATTTATTTATAACACTTTATAGCATTTGCTCCTATTGGTAGCTTTACAGTCTATATCTTTGGATTTTTATCCAAAGTCGTTTATCAAGACAAGATAACGATATAGAAACACAGCAGTTTGAAGGTTTTCAATCGCCCTAACATCGACCCGTAAAATGCAACTGGTACATCAGTAAAATGCACACATTGGCGAGAATACGTTCAATCAGTAATTCAACCCTATACAACCTATTTATTTCCGCGTTTAGAAAACCAACCGTGTCGCCAAATTTTGGGACAATGTAACCGTGACCGGTGGTATACAAAACATTAGACATTGTTCTTTAAAAATAATTTGCGATCGATGCTAGTAAAGTATCGTAATTTGGGTACCTTATTCGGTCAATGATAAGCAGTGAAAAGGATGAAGGGAAAATGGTATTACAAATAGGACATATTTTGTCATGCTCTATCTGGGTGTTTATTAGAAAATATAAGACTTAATGCGACCAAATGAGTACCTAGAACTCGAGAAACAGATCCTTTTACCACTGTGAGTAATATAAACTTGATTTTGCGCGACTCCAGTCAGCCTTCCCACCTAAATAATCCCATCCGGATAAAACGAAAAGAGCAAGGCCTGATACTGATAATTTTTGTAAGGTTTTTTCGCCACAGTAACAGCGGTTTATTTATCTTGCGCTGATGGTACATTTCAGCATATACGTATCGTAACGTGTGGCCGAGAGAAACATGATCCAGGTAAATTGGAACATATTTTAGAGTAAACATAACTTTGAAACGTGTCCAAAATTACTAAGTCTTTTGGAAACAATCATACACAAATATAAATTCATTCGTAAAATAAATTGTCTTCATTTTCGGAGAAGTAATTGAGAAATTTATTGGTTCTGTTTTTTTGGTCACCCTGCATAATATCAAATCAGCGCACGTTAACTCTTTTCGCCCGTACCAGGCATATTTTTTTCATTCCTGTAATTACTATCGACCCCATCAATAGCGTATATATAACGTTTCTATGTATGCAATAGACTTTGAAGAGTGAAATGAATATTGTGATATTTATTTCACATTCGATTTAATAGTAAGTCAGAATGAATTTATTGTTTGAAGTAAGCATTAGCGCAAGTCTAGGAATTTTGAAACTACTCTACAACGGTAAAAGGCATCCTATTTTCCGAGTGTCAATCTTATTTCGGCACGGTCTCTCTATTTTAATTTGATCTGTTACGGTCGGTATACATATCGGTCACGGTCTTCCAAGCACACCTGTTCGATATTAACTTGCTGAAACCCATGTTATATTGTTATTGTTACATATGATAAATCACCCACCGTATATTCAGACAGCATTGGTTCTTTATTAAAATGACTTCAATTCGATATTAATTGTACCAAATGTTTTTAGTATGAAAGATTTGATATCCACGCTGTGCAAAATACAAGCTAAAATTATACATATAAATCAACTAGGTGGTATAAATTATAATCCTATTATTATATATCATACCGCGAGGTTGTTTTTTATGAAATTGCAATCAATACCTGACAAGATAAAGCAATATGTTTGTAATAAAATATAGTTCCGAACTTGGCTGAATTGAGGCCAAATTCATGACTCGTCGTTTATGCTTTATTTCCGGTTTGAATATTCGTGCAACAGATTCACCTGCGAATTGCCTCAAGTTAGTGAATAGCCTACGAAACTAAATCTGCAATGTGAATGCGACTTCGCGATTACAGATGTGTTAAATTTATCAGGAATTATAGCGGTCTAACGAACCAACAACAACGACAAATTCTTCAGCATTTGTTTGTACCATTGTTTTCTTCTACGCCAGGTGATACTATGCCTACGGTTGTATTTAGCGTCCACGTAAAGATTCCCAACTCAGCATTTTGCATGCATCGGCAGTCAGTAGTGTTCGTTCAGTTCGTGCTTGCCGTTTTCAAATGTACTATTTGCGTCATTGTGTGACTGAGTACCGTAAGATTGTCAGTCGCTTCACTTAACTTTATGAGGTTAATTGAAAAGTGGTAAAGTGGTCGATAAATATCAATAACTCAACTTAACTTCAACTAGATTTTGCTTATTTATAGGCCTGTTGCAATGGTCCAATTTGCAATCGTTCGAGAACATTAAAAATTGTTAATGTATCACACCCGGAAGCGTAAATGAACCATTGGTCGCAAATTGGATAAACAAAAATCAACAACATTACCCTACTTGTAACTAAAATTTATGCAAAAAATTCTTCGTTCAGGATCAAAAATCTTCATAGAATACTGTATCATTTTACCACTATTGTCTGCAAGATTTCATCGTATCGATTTGTCAGTGAAAAGAAGTGCATTTGACTGATTAGAATTGATTTTGGAGATGTGAAACAAAAAGTCTGGGCTACCTTATGTATCGTGGGCTTTTAAGTGGATAACATTGAATCGATGAGACGGCATTTAATTTTATTATGTTTTTATTCATAGTGATATATATGATAGCATTCCAAAAACTTGATAAAACTGCTGCAGCCCAGATCAAACTCAACACATGAAAATGAGTACGACGGGCATGTGTCGTTTCTGGACACTCTTGTTTTTGACATGTATAGCTATCGTTATATATGATGAAAACATGTTTGTGTGTGGGCGCAAGCATTCGGGCCGTCGAAGCACAGAAAGTGTTAGTAGCGAAACTTCGGATTCTTTAAAAAGAAATGAACGGCACAAGCAATCTCGAAGCGATAAGAATAAAAGTGTCACTGGAGATTCAAGAAAACAATATTTCACGTCTAAGGACGAAATAATAGTAAAACTACAGAAAGGAAAATACCGCGGAAGACTCACAGAAGTTTTGTCTAATACCAAAATAGCAACATTTTTAGGCATGAGATACGCTGAGGCTCCGAAAAATGAAATGCGGTTCAAGAAGCCTGTTCCCGTCAATAAATGGAATGGAATACGCGATGCACAGGAATATGGAAGTACTTGTTATCAATGGCGTGACAACACTTTTGAACCAGGTACTAACGTTGCTTTACGCTTCAGTAAATGACACTAATTTGTCAAGATAAAATGCATTAGTATTGAATGTGTCACAAAATCAATTAAGATAAAAAGTCAATAGATGTGAGTGAAGGCGTTGGGCAGGCTTATCGTTCTTATCTCGTATTAGCTCTATATTTATTCAAGAGTCAAAATAGAAAATGACACTTCCATTCACTCTACGATATCGACACGTAAAAAACAAGAAAGGCACATTCGTTGCTATTGCACTGAAAATAGTGGGATGCGATGAAAAGTTCCATTTATTCAAAAAATCGTTTTCATCTCAGACTTCGGTTTGACAACCGCACTAACCAAATCAACCAGCAACACAGCTCTGCTATACGACATTTCTTTGGCACAAGATATTTCAACAAAACACAATTTTGCGCGGCCATATTGATAACACTACATAAAATACGGTAAGGGTCAGTGCAATAAGTTCGAACCATGTGCTTTGCCGCCGTAGCACTGATTTTAATAACCCACGTGAGAAAGTCTACAAATGTATAAGGATAAGATTTACATATTTATCCCGGGGGAGAGGAAAGCCGATTTGACGGCTTAACCATATGGCGAACCACGGCCTCTCGTCCGGTTACCATTCCATGTCGGGTATGGGATTAGTTAGGTATTTGTTTTTCCAAAGCATGGACTTGATGGTGAAGGAAGCCGTAACCGACCAGCGGTTACGTGAACCACCCAACGGCGCGAGGAGTCCAACAATACTCTCGCACATAACCATCCCTGCATGGGATTCGAACCTGCGTGGACTTTTTCAATAAAGCAAGATGGTTGGCATTCAAGCGTCTGTACGACAACAAATAGAATCCCATTATGCCTTTTGTTGCGCTCATTCATGTTTTTTATTATTATATAGGTTACCCTGGTACTGAAATGTGGAATGCTAACACCCCGCTCAGCGAAGATTGTTTATTCATGAATGTTTGGGCTCCCGTCAGTCCTGACTTTTCTGGAAGGAGACTAACAGCTGGTGAATCTCTTTTGCCAGTGATGATCTGGATTTACGGCGGAGGATTTTACAGCGGTACTGCTTCCCTTGACGTATACGACGGAAAATGGTTAGCTGCCTCAGAACAAGTGGGTAATCGTCTTACATTTTAAACATAACCAGTCATTTGAGTTGAGATGTCATATAGCAGTAACTCACACCTTCATAAGATTAGTAATATAATATAGGATGTGAAGATTTACATTACTGTCATTTTTCAAAAGTGGGTGAAATTATACAAGTGTTCCATATTTGTAATCTCTTATCAGCAATATATCGTCCGGGGTATAATATATTTAGGTGAGCTATGCCGAGCTTGAACGACGAGGGGCATTGCAAACTCGTTACGCTTCAGCGACTTGTTATATGAGAAACATGTCCGAAGCTGAATTGCTAAGCAATATTTTTTTTTTGATTATAGTTTACCAGGTGGAATTCCTAATATATATATGCTTATGCCATTTTTTCAGGTTGTCGTTGTATCAATGAACTACAGAATAGCAGCTTTTGGGTTTTTAGCGTTTGGATCTGAAGACGCACCTGGCAACCAAGGCCTGTGGGACCAAAATCTCGCGATTCGTTGGGTTCATGAAAATATTCATCACTTCGGTGGGGATGCATCTCGAATTACCTTGTTTGGCGAGAGTGCAGGTGCTGCCAGTGTATCTATGCATATGTTATCGGAACATTCTGAGGGATTATTTCAGTAAGTTATTCTGAGTTTAAAACCCGGGGTCAAATACCTTTATATCAATACCACGTACCTAGAATTCCAGACTTTGACAGCTAGTTTCTGTTGGAAACATCATAAAATCAAAATAACAAATAATGCATTTCATGCATGAAGAATGTTCATCACTGTTTAACACTTTTGAATGAATACCGAATATGAATTAATCCAAATTGTACGTCCCAACTCATATTTTAGCCGATTCATTATACTATCTATGTTAGGTTATACGAGTATATGGGGAAGCTTGGGGACTTGTTTAAAGCAGAATAGAGAGTGACATTTCAAATAATTAAATTAATTCTGGCGTAATTTGAGATGGGGAATGATGCTTTTTCAGAATGATTTTGTAATAATTATTTAAATTTCATGCTGGCGAATATATTTTGATCACGTTCAAGGCCGCTTCAGCATATACCATTTTTTCGTAAGCGGTTTATTATCGACATATGTGTGCGCAAATATGAAACAACGGTACTGATATTAATTAGGAATTTGAATAATTTTCCTCGTCGTTGATACAAATGTCGCTCTTTTGTGATAATGAAGTGGAATATATAATAATGTATAATATTATAACAGTAAATGCAAAAATTTAAATAATTATTCATATTCTAATTACAACTAATATAATTAACTGTCCAGCATGCATAGGCGTCACAGTGAGAACAGATCCCGTCACGCTGTGTACAGATATATAATATTGTATGTAAATTTTTTTTCAGTACATATTACAACCCCAAATACATTACATAGATATCTCAATTTGGTTTGTGTGAATTTACTGAGAAATGAAATATTTTTACCAATTTTTTATATTTTTGGAAACTTTCTTCTCTATTTTGTATGATCAACCTATGATTTTACGTTGACTGCGCAGTCATTCCTATCCTTAGGAATAGTCGGGCTTAACAAAAACATCTAGTTTCTCTAAACACCAGTGGTAAATATATATTTCACATTTGTCATCTGGATTTGTCGAACTATCAGATTTGACAAGGTACGGAATATCTTGAAACTCACTACTATACTATAATATTGTGAAGTAATTGCAACCAGGTTTGTACTTTCTATTTCAGGAACGTCATATTAGAAAGTGCTTCGGCATTCAGTCCTTGGGCAATTCTTCCAACAGACGTCATGCACAAAAGGGCGGAAATGCTGGCCGAGAAGTTGGGTTGTAATAAGCGCACAGAAAACGAAACAGAAAAAAAGGATTCAGATCTCAAAAAGGAAATAATGCAATGTCTGTACCAAGAAGACCCGCAGGTGATTATTATTCAATAAATACACGTGTGATCAAGTTGTCGAATGTGCTGGATGATTTTCCTCATTTGGCAACAGAAAACGAGATAAAATAATTTTTCGATGTACAAATTGATGTCCAGGCAACCTTCAAGATGAATGCTTTGTCGGATTTCTTATAAAGGATGTTGGTCACTGGGAAAACTGATTCTTTTTCACATGAAGCCCTTTTGCGTCTACCGGGGTCTTCAATCTGGCGTATATTATATTGTATTATAAATAAAACTTAGGCTCATTCTCTGCTCGAACTTTATGCTTCATTAAAAAACGGACATATTGAACTTCTTATTGGTTAGTTCGCAAATTTTAAAGCTGGACAGTGGTCCGTATAACTGATTTCAAGTCGTTTGAAAACTACAAATTTCGCAGGTTGATTTTAAAAACATGGGCTTTAGGCTTTTGTAGGGGCGGGCGGGGTCCGGAGTCCTATGAATACTAACCAATGAAAAAATTTCTCCGATTCAAAAAAATGTTGTTACTCGCAACCATACCATATGTTTAAGTTTAGCAAAGCATGCGCACCATATACAAAGTCAATATCTTTCTATTTAGCAACGAGTTGTTCTTGAATGTGGCTCACGTGACTATCAGTGACTTATGCGCAAATATGCAACAACGGTACTGATATTAATTAGGAATTTGAATAATTTTCCTCGTCGTTGATACAAATGTCGCTCTTTTGTGATAACGAAGTGGAATATATAATAATGTATAATATTATAACAGTAAATGCAAAAATTTAAATAATTATTCATATTCTAATTACAACTAATATAATTAACTGTCCATCATGCAATAGGCGTCACAGTGAGAACAGATCCCGTCACGCTGTGTACAGATAAGTCACAAGAGAAAAACTATCAATGGTTTACAATTGTTTAAATCGTCCTGTTTAAAACATGATTTGCTTCCTATTCCTTAAGTTATGTCCAACAAGCACAAAGGAATAAATTAGATGTATATGTTCCCACACTTTAGGTCATTTAATTGGAGTATTTTGTTGTCTCAGTCACTATATTTATACTCTCTTTTCAGACTTTGGTTGACGTTGAAATTGGAATGGAAGATCTTGGAACGGCCAAGTTTCAAAATGCTGCAATTGTTGACAATGATTTTCTTACAGAAAGTAGAATTGAAGATCTTAAAAGTGGAAAGTTTGTTACCGATGTCAATATTCTTGCCGGATTTAATGCAAATGAAGGAAATTACTTTTTAGTCTATAGCACGGAAGGATTCACAGATATTCACAACAACAAACCCATTACGTACGATCAATATCGTTACGGTTTGAAGAAGGGCTTATGGGGATATCCATGGATTCCTCTGAACAAGATGGGAACGCATGATAAAAACTATTCCGATATTATTTTGGACGCAATCGATTTTGAATATGCAGATTTTGGTGTGTCTCTTACTGATCGCGCCCGGTGTCGCAATGCAAAAACAAAATGCGCGACAGACAGCTTGGAAAAACAATCTCAGAATAACTACAAACTCATTCTGGATCACATTGTTGGCGACATCAACTTCGTTTGTCCTCTAATTCAGGTAATGAAAAAAACGAAAATTGTACCACCTGGGGGCGTACCAGAAGATTCAGAGACTGAAGACATGTTTTCGGGTGACGATGAAAAAATAAATAATAAAAATCAGCCAGGAAAATACATGTATAGCTTTTCACACCGCAGTACAAAAACGCCTTGGCCTGAATGGATGGGTACTTTACATGGATATGAAATAGAATTTGCTTTCGGACTACCTCTGGATAAAACACTAAACTACACCGAACAAGAAACTGTGCTTGCAAAGAAAATGATGAAATATTGGGCAAATTTTGCCAAATCTGGGTAGGTTATATAAAAAATTAATTAGTTGGGTGGACAACTCTGTCCGCCTAATAATGCTGTTGTATTCATATGCAATATTTTATTGATTGATTATAGACAAAGTTTCATTCAAATTTAGTCAAAAATTTTTAAAACGTGTAATTAAATATTGAAGAAATAGGAATAGGCATATTGACCTCATCTGTGGAGCATTCTCCGCCACTTGTGTGTATTAGCGCCACCACATGGGATTTCCTTCGAACATTTTTCCGTCTGGTAAATTCGGACGAGGCAAAGATGCGGTTACCGTTGCCATGTGGTGGTCTATTAAATCATAGCTATTTTACCTCAGTGATTAGCTTTCCTTTAATTTTGGACCAGTTTTATTACTATATTTGTACTTTATTTTAGAAATCCAAACCTGCCCGTGCATAAAAAATCTTCCTCCGAAAACATTCTTCTTCCAAATTGGCCGGTTTACAACGAAGACACTGAAGCATCATTGGTTTTCAATATCGAACCCACAGAAGCATTTAGCAGCGAGAGGAAAGCTGTCAACTATGTTGAATACGAAACGAAATCACGACATTGCAGTTTTTGGCATGACTACTATCCAACTATGAGGAAGGCTGTCAAAAAATTAGGTAACTTAATTCTATTAAATTTAAAGCAGCTGAGTCAGACTAAGTTAGGTAAGATGGCCATGTCATTAGAATGTCATGTTTCAAATAATTGCACAATAAAGGACATGAAAAAATGTAACAAATTTACGGTAGCTACTTTAATACAAAAGTATTTGTCAGAAGCTGTTCCATATATGCCACTACCTTTAAAACGAATATTTCTCTGTTTTTGGTTCAGTTCATTTAGATTATTTTCATTTCTTCTTCTAACAAAAATATATTCGTGGCACATTCGTTGCCCCTAACATTTTCAATAAAATACAGTTCCGTCATTCAAAGGACGTGAACTTTTACCTTTTTTCTTCAAAATCCTATCTACAGTTGAGATTGAGTGTTTGCCACTTTATATACAAATTTTAGCGCGATTTATGCTGGTGATTGGGATCATGTCAGCTTCACGGAGTTAACTTTTAACCAAATTGCTATTAAAAGCAAAGCAGTTAATTAAGCAATTATCGAGCAATTGGTTGTGCGTTTTCTCTTATCTGTTGTTAGCGCCCTAATTTTCTCGTGTTCGTTGAAATCCAATTGTCACTATAGGTAAATGTAGTTAAACTCGTTTGTACCCAACTTTTCTAAAACTCAGTAAGTAGCAATTGCGTGATATCTTGATGAACGTATTTTCCTAGCAACCAATAATATGGCACAATTCCCAACAAGGGAAAGTTAGTAAACTTATACCAAGGCAATAAAACCAGTGAACTATAAAAACAACTGGCACAAAGATTTTCTCCTATTACAAATAATAATGCATGGTTATTTTGAGGGTGCGTGATCTAATGAGAATTTCCCTATTATTTGGTCTTATATTTCAACGATAGTCTAAAATATTGAACTAAAGGAAGCTTGAATGAGCTCAACCATCTTAATATTCATGACATAAGTAAATCGAAAGCACTTTAAAGCGACATGATTTCGAAGTCAACAATTAAAAATTTCAAGCCCTCAATTAATTTTGGTGTCATGGCCAGGGGAATCGCGATAGTTTGTTTTATCTAGGTTCCATAAACTAGCCATCATCAAGTGTCATCCGATAAATAATGAATGTAATGAAATCATTCAAAACGAATTCAGAATCGTTTCAATAAGAAAATGAATAAATTGCTGTTTTTATTTTGAATCCAATATTACTACTAAAAACTGACTTGGTATCTTTGCTCAAAATAAGTCAAGTGAATACTTTTCGCTGACTGTAGTTTGAATGAACTACGAAATTTCATACAATGCATTCTTATGCGTAAAAAATCGGTAACTCCTGTTGCCTGTCTCTTGTTATCAAGTTCCGATTACAGGTGGTCGACTTTGGTTGGCTGGTAGCAAATTACCAGGATAACACCATATATAACATGCTATGTGTTTTTGACTCTTTTATTGCTTTTTTGCTAAAATAGTATTTATAAGTTTTACTTAAGATATGAATATTTTATTATTTAAGCAAGTTTCTTTTTAGCATTACATTTTCAACTTTTATATTATTGCTGTTCTGTTGTAACAGTTTTCACGCTATAGAAAAACCGTGAATATTCTGTCAAAAACGTAAACAATCTGCGCCCACTTGCTAATTGTGTTGCTCACGTCTCAATGTCGTTAGTCTAACGTATTTTACTATTATTCTAGTAATGTGATCAGCCTGTAATTTCATTTAGGCGGTATAAATATGTGCTATCACGTCTTTGATCATATATATAATTTAGTTATTGATTTATACTCAATACTATATATACAACCTACTATATTTTAGGTTCATCAAAGTGCACACAAGCATCTGAAGTAAGCTCTGGAGGAAATTTTGCCAGCAGGCCATCGACTGCAACAACTTCGATTAGTTTGTGTATCTTGGTAACACTCGGACTTCTATCATATACTTTGTAATTACACTCGAAAAACGTAACAAAAGTTCTAAATTCCATTGTGAAAATATTATTTAGTAAATTTTTTTTTTTGCTTGCCCAAAGAACTTAACATCCAATCACAAGTTCCATTGTGCGTGGGTTGGACTAATTTTACGCAAAATGTACGTTGCAAATCAGACATGCCATGAGTACGGGCTAATAATGGATTTGTCCTATAGGACATAAATGAATGTGCCCAAAATCAGGTGCCGAATAAATTGGTATCAATTAGGTTTTGTCAATCAGGAAAAGCAGTGTCTCATTTAATATTTTACATAAGTTTTTGTTGTAACAAAATATACTTATAAGATTTATTTGTAAAAATATTAACCTTGGCTTTGTTGCCGCGTCAGATTTCTGACAACATTGAATTTTCTCGTTTCCCACGAAAAAATTTAAAGAAAGTGTTAATGATAAGACCACTAATTTCTCCCGTAAAACTATTTTTATGGATTTCTATAATGGTCAAAGATTTGTTTTGGAAGGAACTGAGAAAGAGTATAAGAATTGAACGAAAATATTCTGTTACGTATTATTCAAGTATTAAATTATCCAATATGATATTTTTTATTCAAGACAGAACTAGTAGGATTAAAATAAAATGTATTTTCCAGTTATTAAATTTTACAAGATTGAAAATACTCATTTATACTGATTCGATTTTTCCCGACAAAATCAATGCAAATGAGGTAATGAATCACTAACCTCGAAGTCATGCCGCAATTGCCTCAATTCAGCTTCTAATGTTACCAATGTTTTAAAAAAATCCACAACATTTACTTATTTTCTGTGAAATTTAAATTTATTGTACGATATCGCCACCATATCACCTACTCCTCACCACCAAATAATGAATATCCCAATCAAGCTGCAATCTAATCATGGTCAGACAAGCGAAATGTCGCTAAGTCGCAATTAAGGCTGTGGCGGCAGAAATTGAAAAACTGAGTTTTTAAAGCTTAAAACTCAAAGCATACTATGAGACGATGGGTTTTCCTTATTTTTTTTATTCAAAGAAAGATCGATTCAGGCCAAACAATGTTCATTTGTCAAATCCGTTCTGTCGGCGTCTCTTACCCGATTAGTAATGATTAATAGATCGAAGATTACCAACCAATGCAGAAGAAGCAAACCAATGCTGAAAAGTAGTTTGCTCGCCAGAGAAACACGGGTTCTGTTGCACCTATATATCATATATACCAAATTTTTTTTTGTAAAGTTAGATTAGGTTGGCCAGTTGATCTGTAAATAACTTTACTTCTAAAAATGTACACAAGCGATATAGAATGATATGTCACGATGTTTATCCGTCGACTGTGTAACAGGCTATCTATACGTTTCAAAATTATATTGAATATTGTTAAACATGTAACCTCATCTTATATACTAAATAGGCAATCTCGTCTAAGATAGTCCCAGGTGTTAAGAGACTTGATTTATAATCATTTACATTTTTTGGGCGATATTTTTTGTTTTGTATTCATTTTTGCATGATCTATTAGTTTGATCATATTTTACTATCTTAAATCTTATGTCAATACTCAGAAGACGACTTTATTTCTTCGCCTACCATTGTTATTTTTGTTTGTTATTATTTTAGTAAATTGTTGATATTATGATATACACGTATACCTTATAATTTTACTCATATTTTATTATAAATCATCAATACACAAATCTTCTGTATTTTTTTCGGTGTTCTGTTACTTGTTATTAGGAATGTAGATATTTAGTACCAGGACCGGCAGTTTCATCTGCGAGCTCCATCTTCAGTAATTGTATTCTAACACAGCAGAATTTTCGCAGGTGTAATGGCCATAGATAATCTCAGCAAAAATGTTCAGCAATAAATTAATAAACGCTAATAATTTTTTGTCACTGTTAAATGTTTTCAGATCGAATATCGCTACTGTAATATGTTACCTGGTTGTTGATAACTGCATGCAATCAGATGCGAGCATATTTTTGGATTTAGCCTTTCAACAGAACGTCGCTCTAGAGACTGCACTGACCAAGTTTAGATCATTCATTACCTCATGCAACCGTATCCCTGTGTTGCGGCAAACATAGCTAACCACAACCCGATATCGTAGCACGCATGCTGTTGAGTGATGTAGATTGATCATGCTGTAGAATAACTTTTGCTGTTAAGCTCTCCATTTACGCGGAACGATTCCCTTGACGATACTGAGACCACATACCCTCAAATAGAAATTGATCACCCAATCTAATTACAAGCTTGAGATGAATATAAGTCAGGCACGTATAGTTCAGTTCATTGCAACTCGCCCATTCACCAGCTGAAGAAAATGAATGGGCCATGGAACTATGTAATGAATTTAAATCAAGCAAGATACGTGTTATACGTGTTGATAATCAATATTTCTACAAGTAATGTCAAATTAGTTTTTCATTTGCTTGTCCATTAAGTGAGGTCCAGCCAACTCGATAGTTTGAATTTAACAATAGCGGCTTGTTTTATATATAATTTGACTCCGGCAAAGTCGAACGAACCCACCAATTTTGTAGTATTTTCAATGACTCATAATGGATCATTTCAAATTAAAATAATTTATTACACTGCAACGACGAAGATTATAGCTTCTGATAAATGATTTTCGTCATTGCCAACTTCCAGAGTAAACAGACTGAAAAGAACTTCTGTCATCTTATTCATGTATTTAGGTACGAGACATATAATTAACCCAAATCGGAAAAATCTAGTTTTCTGCCGTCATGTTGAATCTTCTTACCAAATATATACCAATATTTCTCCTTAGTAGTTTGGAACAAACATTCATCGCAGATCCTGCATGCTTTTTTGTGATGTAGTTCTTCTATGATAAAATGGGATGCTCACAGTTTTCAAAGCCAGACTTCTATGAGTGACAGTAGTTTCCACTCAATAAAAAATAACTTTTTTTTACCTATAAACATTTTATTTGGAATACCCCCGACCCTGGGATTGCATTTCACTATATTTTGGTTTAGGCTACATGAGCAATCGCCAGCCGCCCACTGACTCCTTCATAGGTCACATAAGCACACAGACACAATGATGTGTTACCACTGCATCAGGCTCGTCGCTTATAAATCACCATTAAAGAAACAATCCCGAATAACATAGTTTCATTGTATTCAACATACTAACGAGAATATCGGTCACAGACCGAAGACTTATCGATCGAAAGTTAGGGTAACCCCCAAAACAGCGCTCTTACTCCATAGTGAGACCTTGTGTCCCATCACTAATTAATTAATAACTCGCTAATTATACGACATAATTCATCCAAAATCAATAGGCTTCTGGTACGACATATGATGAATGTACATGCAAAATCTGGAGCAGATTCAATCTCGCTTTCGTGAGATATCGCGTGCATCTAACAGACAAACAAACAGACAGACAAATACCTATCAACATACTTACTGATTAAAATCGATAAGTAATAACACAAAAGGATTGAATAGAATTAAAATTCATAGTAACCATTGCACATTCGCTACGCTTGTAATTATTATATTTCCGTAAGGATTACAAATTTTAACATAAACTTTATGAAAACCAACGAAGATCTTCCTAAAGCGGCAAAGCACAATAAAAATACAAATTGAAATACCAGAATGATTGAATTCTTGCGTTTTTTGTTGAATAATTAAATCTACTTAGCACAAATTGTACATTTCCCTTGTTTACGTTTTTTTTTGCATTTATGCGTAAAGAGTCAACATTTCACGAGTTTCTTTGATTATGATAAAATTATTTACAGTTTGTGAAAATAACGCTGCACGACGCGAAGCGCGCACTGTTGTTTTTGACGTGTTTCGTGTTTCACAAGCTTTTGTTGCATCAATTTTCAAATTCTAGACATTGAGGTGTCCCGGAATGATTTAACACAAAGTTGGCAACCCTAACCAATTGCCCGACGCTAAGCGAAACTTTGTGTCCAAATATATATTTGAGCATAGCTTTTTTATGTTATTATGTTGTTTTTGTAGGTATTTTTCTTTTCATTGTTCTCATTAACTACTGGACCAACTGCTTTGGAATTGTTGGTGGTTAAAGATTGTATTTTTGCTAGAAAGCTGTTACTTTTATTTATTTTTAAAATTACTGTGGGCTCTATGAAATTCGTCGTTTTTTTGACGTCGTCAAAAATTGCGCACTTTGTAGCGGTTCCACTTTGGCGTTAGTCGTGAAGATTGTCGTCAGGTTATTATACTGTGACAGATTGTATACCCGTACTATTTCGTTTTAACCATCTTGTCTATACATTTGAGCATCGCTCTCTTGTTACTAAACACAAAATGGATCGTTTTGTTATTATGCTGTTGTGCTTGTTGGTATTTTTCTTCTTGTTGTTACCGTATGAAAAAATTCGCTTTGCTTATTAACTACTGGACCAATTGATTTGAAATGTTTAGTGGTTAAAGATTGTACTTTTTGCTTGAAGGCTATCAATTTCATTTATTTTGAAACTTCCTCTGAGCTCTATGTGATTCTTTTTCGCGAAATTTGGTGTGATGACCTCTTAAAAATTGATACAAATTATTTGTAGTGTTTCCTCGATCTCACTCGCTTTCAGAAGTTTTGTGAAGGTACTGGTACTGTAAAAGGTAAGATAGAATGCTGCTTCGCTTTGGTTTCCGTGTCCATATGTTTGAGCATCACTCTTGTGTGTTCTTGTTCGTGTTGGCATATTTCTTATTGTTATTGCTTTTTTCATTCCCTACTTGACCAATTGATATGTACTTTTCTCTAGAAGGCTATTACGTTTATTTGCTTCAAATTTTTCTGTAGGCTCTATGGGATTCGTTTTTTGTGTGCGAGAAGCTCAACAAAAATTACGCACCTTGCGGCGCTTTCTTGTTTGTTTTCTCCGTGAATACTGCGGTAGTCTACTGCGACAGATTGGATATCGGTACTCCCGTAGTATGGGTACCAGATTAGGCCATAATTTGATTCTGATTTTCCTTATTTTAGTTCTATTACGAGTTCGGGGACTGTTTGTATTAGCCATGTGAATATGCCCATAGGCGTCCTTCCGTTTACGCATTTATGGCAAGACCATAACAAAAGTCATATTCAGGACCTGGTGAAGATAGGACAGTCCGGGTACTTGTACAGTAATTGTTATACTACTGTTCCAGCTCCAGCTTCCAGTTTCGTTCAGATCCAGGATATGATTTTGTTATGGTCTTGCCATAAATTGCAAGTGGTTAAATTTCTTCAAACAAAATTATGTTTATGATCATGCAAACCGGTTTGTAAGCACTGATTCACGATAAACACTCAAAATGAACTTCAAATATTTTGCAATGGTCAAGGCTCTGGAGACAAGCCTCGGAGAAATGTTCATTGTGAAAAACTCAAATCCTGAATTGGGTCTTTTTTGTCCACTAAATTCAACTGTGTTAGTCCCAAAGAAACAAGGTAAACATATGAACAAGTTAGTATAAAAACAAATAATTCCATTTTTTATTAAAATTTATCAACAGAAAAAGAATAATTTTACAAGCAGTCTCAACATTTGCTGCTTCTTTTTGAAAAATCTAACAAAAAACTTACAAGAAACGCATTGACTGCGTATACATTATTTACACAAGTTTACTCGAAGCGATGTTTTAAGCATACCAATAAAAGTGAAAATCGATGTGGAAAGATTCGCAGGCGACCAGAAGCGCAAAAAAGCTATAAATACATTGCTGAAATAAAGAAGTAAATAGATACGGGTTGAAACAGAACTTAAAACGAATAACACTAATCTAAATTAAGTATGTTCAGAGCATTTAAACGGTGCGCTACATCTATGAAATTCTTGTGGCTGATGGACAAACTCATATTGATTAATATTTTCGCATTATTTGTCTTGTTTCCATCCAAATAGGCTCCGCTGAAAGCCAATGTTCTCTGAAAATAAAGAAATCACTTCACGTCTGGAACCTTTCACTATTGATTTTTGTTAAAGCCCGGGGTGATAAAAAAATTCTGATTTGTACCTGCTGAAATTCCCGAAGTTTCCCGTTGAATGAAGGGCGTAGATGAATGAGAAAATTTGAAATTGAATCTGGGTGTGGACGACGAGCTTCTGGGGTGAATTTGGCCGCCAAACGGTGATGTGCTAGGTCTAGGAGAATGATTGGCAGAACCACCTAGAAAAAATTGGTTAAGTTAACTCAAATGACATTGCCATAATTAAGAAGAAACAGCGTCAAGTTTTAAAGACACAATTCTTGAAACTTAAGCTCAATTAAAAATATTTTGATAAAGTATTTTCCTAAATCAGATAACTAATAAAGTTCTTTAACGTAATTTGATTTTCCCAGCAAATTTTCGTAAAACTAGGATTTTTTCTTTTAATTTATAAACTGTTATAAACTTTTACTAATGATATAAGTTACATAGTACAACTTCAAATCTTCAAACTAAATAATACGAGGGTATTAGTGACAAGGCAATGAAAAAATATATTTTCACTTAATCTATCGCATAAATATATATAAAAATCATAATCAAGTAACAAGATTTGAATCATACTAGTGAATAAAATAAAAACGCAGTTAAACTAAATAGCTATTGATGCACGTGTGAAGTAGCATAAGTCGCGGACAATGAAAGAAATCAGTTACCAGCTGCCGGAGACGATAGATATCCGACTGTTGAATGGCACGAAAGTTTTTGTTGGTTAGTCTGTTTAAATAAGTACATCCGCACAGTGAACCCCCTTTAGACAAAGACATTTTTAGAACAAAAACTTCAGTTGTGTGGATTTCCTTAGCTGCTTCTTGATCAAGTTTATCAGAACTGCTCATACGCTCGCGTCAACGGATATTCACTGGCGAGTAATGCACCACTATAATTCAGTATGGCTTCAATGCCTCTCGGCATTTTAGTGGTCGCCCTTTATTTGTGGGTGTATTTTTCCGAAAATAACATCGTACATTGAATACATACCAACAGGGATGTCAAAAGCTGAGAAAAAATCTTTGTTTCTGTCTTTGATACCACAATCCTCGAATGCCGGAGAACATCTATTTTCAGACTGCGGGTTAAGTGAACTTTTCCCGTTATACCTTGTCAGTAGCTTTTGATACTGCCTTGTCTTTTCGCGCAGTTTCTCTGCAAGCTGATGAAAGTCAAGCATTATTCATAATTCACACATACACAGGAAATAAACTCAGAAGTAAGAGCATAAACAAGTCAACACGCATTATTTGAGAAAGTCAATTGATTCATACGTCCTTGAATAAATATTGTGTTATATACGATTAAATATGGTAAAACAGTAAACTAAATTAACCTCTACGTTCAAGTTTTTTGCAGATTCAATTTCTGATTTTGCATTTGCAAGTTGAGATTTCATTGCCTTAGCCTCAAGTTCCCAAGATGATGCCATCTGATCACAATATCTTTTGAGATTGCTGTATTTTTCCATTACTTTATTGTGAAGATATTCCTGCAAAATATATAACCATCAGTGTCAAAAAGGTAACGAGTATCGTAATAGAGCAGCACATATTCGGGTGCTTGCTCTGAGGGCATCGAGAAAATATTACCCTGTGCATCTGTTCTTGGTAATTCTGATATGACCAGGATGACATAGCTCTGCTACAAACATCCAGAATAACTTCTGGTCGTTGACCAACCAAAACCATTGTTCGGTAAGCTTCAGACGGATTTGTATCAATGCGAACAATATCAAGTTTTCCAGATAATTCTTTCGAACATGCCGTACAGATTCTTTTGGCTGTCATGAAAAAGGGCACGTAAAATAGATTTCGCAAGAAGTCATCAATATATTGTTCTTTAAAATATGAGTCGAGCGTCATGTAGAATAAGTTATCAGCACTTTGACGAAAACTTCGCTCCAAAAGGTTCAATAAATGACTATGGATACTGTTATGGTGTTGTACCTGGCGTTATTATGCCAAGCCAAAGAATTTAGTTTGAACCACGAAATTAAAATATTACAGTAAAGTCCAAGTTAATGCTTGAATACATATTAAAATACAATTAAAAAACGCGAATTATTCCGTTATGGACATCACCTAAAAAGTATACGGGGTATTGCTGGTTTCGTAAGACTAAATAAATGATTTGGAGTATCCGAAGAAAGACATACAAATAGAAAATGAGGAATAGTACAAATATTTTAAAGTAAGCAACAACAGACGAAGTTTGGTATTAATTTTATCAATATAGAGCAAGATCAGAACAACAATATGTTTCAAAAGTCACTGCTTCAATATTGAGAATACAATTTATGCAATTCAAACAAAACAACTCAATATCCTACAATCTACATTATAAATAATAAAACAGTTTCAGATGTACAGGGTTATCCATCAAGACATAACTTACAGATTATTTTCTGTCCATCATCATCGCAAAATATATGAGAGCATGACGTCGCCCACGCAGTTCCACTTGATAATCTTTTACGACAACTCTTGACATTGCAGAAAAGATCGCCTTCCATTGCTATCTTTCAACTCAAGTTAAAACAGAATCTAGAAAACTGATAATTGTAGTAGTATTTTATAGTTCTGATGTAGCCTACATATTCCAAAACAAAATAATTTGCATTTTGTAGTAATAGCTCGAATAAAATGCTCGTAATTTTATATATTTATTTTATGAATACATAGTTTATATTCTGCCGAAGAGGAAGGTTTTATGACAGTTACTGAAATCGAAATATCAACTATTATTCTCTTTTTTAATCCATCTTAGTTAGAACACGATATTTGTTTGTAATTCTGTATTCTTTCTTGACGATATGTTTTCCAGTGCATTTGCTCAAAGAATTATTGACTAACAAAATGATCACGCACTACCACTCTTTCTCAATTTTATTTATTAACTCAAATACCAAAAAGAGTTCTAACCCCCCACCGATAAAGTTAGCTGGATTGGTAGGCTACAGCCTACATTGCGAGCGTTAGCAACACGATCTCATCGCTGATTACAGAGCTCGATTTCACAGGTTCGAACATCATGCGCTATGTTTGAACTCTTCGAGTTTACAGAGTGGCTGAGGTAACTGCCAACTTCGTGCCTATATGAAACGAATTACTAACGTTAGGCCTATCGCAGCGCCAGCTTCATACTGGACAATAGGTCATCGTTGGCCGTGATATGGGCTTTACGTTCCCAGGAATGGATAGGATGATTCTTAAAGACAACCTCAGAGCATATAAACAGACCTGATATGCTAAAATAATACAATTATGGAAAATGATCCATTTTCAACAAAATCAAATGTTTCACTAGTTTGATCTCGAATTTTACTTGTGAGTTAGTCTATTGGTAACTGTTTATCATGGTTTGATCAGATGTGTATCGCTATTTTGTATTTAGATTATGTTTAGTTATTTATTGCATAAAATACTAACATGTGGTATTCAATAACCTCATCCAGTCATATAAAATACCGGTAGCCTGGTAGGAACCACAAGCTTTTGTCTGGTAATATAGTCTATTCTAACTTTTTCCTGTCATGTTGGGGTACAACAGCAAAAATACTCCAGATGAAAACATACGGCGGGGTAAATCAATTCATCTGATTAGGAAATCACTGATCTGTAGATGGAAGCCTGCATCCTAACGTAAAGTAACGAGTAACGTCAAAAATTTACAAAGCAACTTGTTGTAAACTGGCTTGTCTGAGGAAGTCTGACTCCGGTCGGACGAAACGTTACAGAAATACATTTGTGTTAGTGTGCAGCTGGACTCTTTTAATTGGATAGAATAGTCATGTTTATTCCAGCTACAGTATCCTTGCAGTATACGCATACGGATCCCCTAGCATAAAGGCATACAGAAAAGATAGGAAGTTAGTCTCGCGCAACCCAACTCAAATTCAACTTCATAAGTGTTCAATTTTTATCAAAGGGAAGATCACGACCATGACGTAATAATGCATAAACAATGAATATTTTGTAAGATATTTGGGTCTGGCTGGTGTAGTTTCGTACCTCAAGTACTTCTATGGGCGTAGCATGACAATTTTGCACATGTCAATACTAACCATCACCTGACTACGCCAATTACGTCACTACGACGTCATAGTTGCCAAACTATACCTACAATCGCCCAAAATGGCATCTGCGCCGACGATAAATAACTCATTAACGGCAGCGACCTCTCTCATATCGGGATTGCTGCGACGAGAGAAATAGCTTTCTCGATTTCGGGTGATCGTGTGCGTGTCTTGGAATTTGGACGATAATTCGAAGGGCCTTATTACGTCACTGTGACGTAATTTTTGGTTGAGACAGTCGGATGGGGTTAGGATTGACATATGCAAATACTGTTATGCCACGCCCACTAGAAGTACATGAGGTACGAAACTACACTAGACCCAGATTCTTTATGCATCGTGTAGCAAAGTCGGCCCCAGCCTTTCAGTGACTTCGGCCTCCCCGTAAGTTGTATACCCCGTTTAATAAAACAGATGATATTATTATATACACGTGCTTCCCACCATAACTGCCTTGGATATATACGATGTGCTTCGCTCTGCCAATCTCCTTTGCATGACGTTCTATTGAAATTGATTACCAGATTGCCGAGTTTATTGTGTGACGACCCTTGTTTTATCTGTTAAATGATGTCATGTGATATTGTTTCCATATTTGGTATTTTAACACTGAGGGCGCTGTGACACTGTCGATCTGTCCTTTGGTATCTTGTTAGCGTGTGTTGTGGTTGGTACCCGTTGGATGTTTGGTTTTGAGTGTCTGAGGTAGTGCCTCTGGTCTCTGGTGGGTCATCGGGGATTTTTGTTTGTGGTTTTGTGATTGTTGGATTGGGATTGGTTGGATGTTTTTGTGCTGGACAGTGAGCTAATGTTGGTACCCTGTTGCTGTTTGTGTGTAGTGCCATTGCAGTTCATTTATTGTTGTATTTTCAGTTTTATCATGGAATTAGCTATCATCAGTACTGTTCAAATGTTGTGCACATATAGAATTGTTTATAGTTTTTTAAAATGCCTGTCATAAGTTATTTTCAGCCTATTTTGCAAATTGTAGTAGCTAGTTCAAGGGCCGTCAGTGTTTTTATGGTGTACAGTATATTGATTTCTTACATTTAACTGCCTGGTATTGTTGTTTTTGTTGTGTGCTTTTCGTTTTTTTTGAGTGTTTGGTTGTGTTAACCGTTTCATTCAACGACTAACATACAGATTCATTGGGGGAAAATTAATAAATAGAAAAAAATAGCATAAATTGAAGTGAATATTGAGAGGAAACTTGACGTCAGACCATATTGGAAGATATTCTGAACTTGGATAATTATTTCATAGACTGCCGGTACGCTACAATTGAAATAGAATGAATGTTTCTGCAATATTACTTGGACAAAAATGGAAAGCGAGTTTACACGTTGAAGAAAGTAGCTTTAGATGGTTCACGAACAAGCACAACCAAAACGTCGAGAAAAACCGCCATGTTCTCGGTCGATTGATAGATGTTTTGAAGTTCATTGGTTGTCACGAGCTGTCCCTCCGTGGGCACGATGAACGGGCTGGCTCTTCTAATAGAGGGGTATTTTTGGATATGGTGGAATACACCGCATCCCTAGATACAGTATTGAGAGATCATCTTGATGCCGCAACTGTTTCGGAAGGGACATCTAAGAATATCCAAAATGATTTGCTCGACTCAATGTATAAAATTTATTTACAACATTTGCCTCTGGAAATTGAGAATTGCCAGTTCCTTTCGATTCAGTCTGACGAGATAACTGACATCACGTGCGTTTCCCAGCTGGCTGTGATTTTTCGGTTTGTGAAAGATGGTAAACCTACCGAGAGATTTCACAGCTTTGTACCAATCGTTGATCGCACGGCTTGCGGGATATCGGCTGTACTGAAAGAAGTGTTACAGCCTTACAACGCGAAGTCAAAATTGATAGCTCAAACTTATGACGGCGCGGCAGTCATGAGTGGGTCGAAACATGGTGTTCAAGTTTATATAAAAGAAGATTTTCCTCATGCGCATTTTTTACATTGTTATGCACACCAATTTAACCTCGTTATTAAAAATATGTGTCTTGATACCCCTCTCGTCCGTATATTTTTTGCAAATGTTTAGGGGTTTTCTTCATTTTTTCCGTTTTGCCGAAGCGCTCTGACCTCCTTCGCCAGATATGTAGCCGCCGTCTCCCAGCTTGTGCACCAACACGTTGGAACTTCCAATCACGCGTGGTGCAGGGCGTGTCCGAAATTAGGTCTGAGCTCATTGAGTGTTTCAATGGCATTCAGAGCTCTCCGGTTTGGGACGAACGCTCTGTGAGGGAGGCGGCAGGTCTAAAGCGTCTGCTAGAAGATGGTGAGTTTTCTATTTCTCTCGCTTTTTTCTCCACAATATTCTATCACGTGGATGTATTATACGGCGCATTGCAGTCAAGGCTAATGGATGGAGCGTCTGTGCAGTCGTGTATTTCAGACTTCTGCGATGCTGTATCTCGTATCCGGGAAACAATAAAATACGACGACACATGGAGTGCTTCTTTACGCCGCGGGCAAACAACGCAGCGTTTGATTTTGTCTGCAAAGGAATGCTGTGACATTCTGGTGAATCAAATAGGCGATCGTCTGCGCACTGAACACTTGCCGCGTTCTCTTTGATGAAACCCAAAAATTTTTCAAAATTTGCACGTCAATTTCCCATCCATTTGTTGGCTACTGTCTCCAAATTTTACCCCATGATAAACGTGGGTAAATTGGAAAATGAATTGCGATGTATATACACCAATCAAATTTTTTTGAACATCACATCAACTTGCGCGCTCTATGGGTTCCTCATAGATAACACTCTAGTAACTACCTTTGCGGCGTCTGCAAAATTTCTGGACATCATTTTGACGACGCCTATTTCTTCCGCCGACGCAGAGCGAACATTCAGCACGCTGAAGCGTATTAAAACGTATCTCAGAAACACAATGAAGCAAGATAGATTAAATTCTTTGGCTGTTTTATCCATTCACAGAGACGTTATTTCTGGGATGCATGACTTTAATCATCGCGTTATTGAGCATTTTGCTTCCAGGAAACCGCGGCGTGTTGCATATATGTTCAAGCAGTAGAAGTCTAGCAGCATATATATCTATGAGTGAGCGACGCATGTCCTTATCTTTGCATTACCTTTCCTTTCTTCATAGTAACGTTTTAAACCTTATTTTAGGGTTTGTCTGCTTTCCCGAAGTTTCTGTTAATATGTCATTGTATTTATCTGGGTAAATATTGCCTTTCCTTTTGAAAGAGGTTTCAAAATAAACTATGTCTATATTTATTAATCCCTTGACTTGGACCGGTTTTAAAGACACTTTCTTATCGTTAAAAATTGTCGCTTTTGCCGATTGGTTGTTACCGATGGAATGGTTTTTATACTCATAAAATGATGGGAGAACTCACATCGCTCATCCTGTCCCCGTAGATGGGGGTGACTTGGTCCCGCAATAGCTTGCCCCGGTTGTCAAAATGACCACGCGCCGCCACTGGAACATAGTAACTCATCCAGCCAGGTTTTGCTGAATCACAAGTTTTCGAAGCAAAGAATCGTCAGCCAAAACCGTTTCGGACTATTATTAAACTCAGCAACCAAAGCCTGCGACGTGAAAGAACGTGTTTAATGAGAAATATAGAGCAAAATTTGAACAAACTCTTAACTGCGGAATTGGCGAAGTGTACGATATTTTGTATGTATAGTCTAGCTCGATATTGAAGTAAATTAGGTTTGTCATATTACAGAAAAAAATACTACAGTAGCCTATCTTATAATCTATTAAATTTTTACCCTGAAATTGAAGAGCATGTTTATGGTAATATTTAGTGTTTCGTCACATTTTATTGCTGTACGTCTTCGCCTAGAATAACTGAATAATAGCTTATTTGATTTCATCAAGTGGGCTTAGTCTAGTCTTAAGTATCTCGCACAAAAAATGCCAAGAAATGTGGGTCGCGAACTGAAAAAGGTTGGGAAGCACTGCTCTAGAGTCTAGACCAGTGGTCGGCAACCTTTTTTCGGTGACGGACCGGTGAAGCCTGACCAAAATTTTGGCGGACCACCTTGTACAGACGGAATAAGCTTATGTAATAAATTATTTGTGTTATAGGGTAAATAGGTTGATATTAAATTTTCAAACCTTGTAAACGGTAGATGTTTATCGGTTTTGTGAGATTTTTTTTTCAAAAACATTCTGGAACAACCCTTTACAATTTCAAAACTGAGTGCACATATGCCTCAGTCTGCTTTGTCTAATGATCGATTCGTAATTTGTTCCGGCTATTTGACACCCACGCGCCGTCTTATCTGTTTCCGCTGTAGCCACTAAAATGCGTCACCAAACTTTGCTAACGAAGGAGGTATTACTTGTCCCAGCCATTTTTTCGGAAATTGCAGAAGCGGAAGAAATGCATTTGCCATTCATGAATGATATCCAAGCATCTACTGTATACTTTTGGCACCACGACGCCATTAAAGCGAAATTTCAGGTTTATCCAAATATATTCTTGAAAATTGGAATATGTGAAACCATATTAAGTAAACTCCTTGGTTTATTACAATTTGTTATCTGAAGTTTTCAAAGATATTTCGATTTTCTTGTGTGCTTATTTGATGTGCCCTCAATTTGGCATTGAGTGTTTGTTAACATCCAAGTAAAAAAAATTTGCACACTAAACTCAATTACATACAGAAAATGCGATAATTAATTGCAAATAACAAGTTTATTCTGGTAATTGTAACAAGAAACATTTCCGCGTATCATTTGGTTCTACACAACACTAAGTGATGTGGCAACAAGTGGTGTGGAAGTGATGTGTTGTTATGTATTTCCAGCTATCCCACCATTATTTAATCTTGTCATTATCATTATAATATTTTGGCTTTTAGTTTAGCTGGGGGAAAAAAGGACCATAAAAAGCTATAATAAAATAGGCTAAAATCTAGCTGTCATTCATTTGTAATCGAATTTTTTGCCAAACGTCCGGGAAACATCAATTGATTACTAAACATATCTTTTGGTTCCGGCCCACTGATCCAGAGAATAATTTTGAGCACATTCATGTTTACATTCAATGAAATTGGGAAGCTATTGTGGTATGTAATATATATATATATACGTGTGATATATTTGTGGTTCTGGGTGGGGTGGCAGAACGTAAGGTTTTGGCAATGGAAAACAATTGACCCACCACCATTAAGAATGAAAAATGTTGAACCTCGTATGTTGGGAAATGTCTATTGTTATTCAGGTGTGAGCCTTGTTCTTTGGTCATCTACAGTTGTCAGCAAGGTTGGCTTAGCTATCAGAAAATATATCGCATTTGTTTGGTATTTTATGTGTTTTATTACCATTAATACAAATAGACAAAAGGCAGCGTGGAACTATAGTCAATTCTGTCTTTGTTCACAAATATTATACATGTTACGTGTCGGAAATTTGATACTTCGAAACACGAGTTTTGTTCCGAGTCCTTAAATTCATGTGTTATATTCACGCCAGGTGAGTGTAACAGCGTCCTCAACAGTCGCGTGACGAAAGGTGTAATGTTATGGTTGTATGTCTGGAATTACTTTGTGAGATCATTTCAAAGGGAAGAGGAGGGATTCTCGCAAACATAGCCGTTAAAAATACCGTATCATATAATATATCTAATTTCAATAAACATGTACTGTATCACGAAATTGCGAATACGTATCTTCAATCATTCTTAGATTTCCCCTAAGACTGCGAGTAAATACAATGTGGCGATTTAAAATGTTGGGGGTAAGTGTATTTTTATTTTATTTCAGAAGCGTCATTCAACTTCATATTAAGAGGTATAGCCTTTAATTAGATTAATTCATAGCTGCAACGACTTTCTGCCATATTGATCAGTATATAACAACACAAATTTGAGGTAACAACGTTATCAATAATACCGTGAGAATAAAATTATCGCGTAACTGTACTATCGGAAAAACCTTTTTGGGAGGTAAATCAAGATATAATTTATCCAAATCAGTATATATCGTTCCTGATACCGCTGTGAGAGTAATTATTGATTTTTGTTCATTTTGAGTTAGTTTGCTGGGTGTTCATTCTAAAATACTCATTTGTTTATTATTATTGGTACGGGCTATTTTCAATGTTTATTAATATTCTACATGTCAACTAACATATAAAGCATAGATCATGAGTAGCATGTTGCGATTGGCTGTTTCTGGAAAGGCTGAGTCACATTGTGTTGATGGAGATATAAAAAGAGTTGCTGGCAACATAAACGAAGCTACACTTGCTTATCTTAACGCCCACATTGCTGATCCACAATTCACGACTGTTCATTTGAATGTCCTGGAATCAGAGCATAAATCAGAAATAACAACAGTATTAGAAGAATGGTTGAAAACAGATGATGAATCTCGTGCAATCAGGTATGTCAGTTTCGACATGCGTGATGGGTTTTATGGACTTTTAAACATTTTGATATTTTTCCGGCAGATGGCAGTTTTTTCGGTAGGTGATCTCCGTCTTCAAAGAGTTGTTTTAGTTGTAAACACGGATAACCACAATGGCACATCAAATGTAATAATGATATATAAAAATTTAACAGGAAAAAGTATGGCGTGAGAGCCACACCAGATGAGATTTGGAGCTTCATTTTCAATCTTCAACCGCAAGCAGTAACAACTTGCTTTGCAAGGATAGAACCTTTATTGAAAGAACGTCGGTATCAGCAGGTGAAATATTAGAGTATTCATTAGATGGTTTAAAATAAGTGAAAGCTAATACGGAGGTAATGTGTGACTGAAAAGAAAATCGAGTTATGGTGGTAATATTGGAGTTCTGGGAGCAATCGTTAGAAGAAGTATAGCAATAACCCTCATGCGTTGACGCTGAAGTGTGAACGGGTGACTGGCAGGTCTGAGACAGTCCACGAATTAGCAATATCCATTATATTAATCGCTATAAAAGAACTTGAAGAACAATGAACTAATTGGTTTATTAACTTGACATTAGTGATCGCAATCACAATAATACGTAATTTTAATAAATCAGTTTTTACTAAGCAATAGATTTTCATACTGTATGACTTGGCGACCTGGTATAATTTTACAGAAGTGAATATCTCCCGCTACTATGAATATAATTTAGACATGGTGCAGTAAAGTTCTCCTCAAAGGCGGGAGAACTATGCGAAGTTTTTAAATAAACCTATAATAAAAATTTACAAAAGGAAAATAGACATTGTTGGATGGTATGGGGCCTCACAAATGTGCTCAAATGCACCAAGCCCTTCACAGAAAAGAAGGTTCAAATGAGGATTGGGACTATATATCCATTCCTGTATCATTTATCTTATTTTTATTCACACTTTCAACATACAGGTCATAGACAGCTGCACAGCAATTTTGAATCATTATTCTAGCGACACAGCTCCTATTTTACTCCAAAGAGCATTAGCATATACGTTGATGGGCAACCATGAAAAGCTAGCAATATCCGATTATCTCAGAGCATTCATCAAGGATAAAGACGCTACAATTCAAGTAACAATATTCATTTGTATTACTTATTTATTCGGTGACCGTACATTTGAACCCATGTACATTTGAACCCATGCGTATATCCACGGGTTCAATCTATATGCGGGTGCTAAAACCCATGGGTTAGGGTTAGTATGGGTTTAACTATCCGTGAAACAAAAACAATTCCATAGGTGCAATAGCATACAGGTGCAATTGTCATGGGTTCAAATGTACGTGGGTTCAAATGTAATGGAACCATTTATTCTTATTAGATGCGCTGATATATATTCAAAATGATGAAATCTCAGTGCCATTTGGACGTTTACTAATGTACGAAACATGGCGAATTGGGACAGGTTCTCATTTTTTAAACAATAAAATGATGGGGAAACTTACTGCCGACTCTCACTTTGATCAATACAATTTCTGATTTTGATGATACATTTTTAGGTGGTACGAAGTAAGCATAGCCAACATCTACCACAAATTACAGACACCCTTCGTGACTGTGTTTATTCTCAAGCACCAAATACTTCTCTAGAAAGCAAGCAAATGAAAAAATGGCTTCAACTTACTGTGGATTGCTGCAAGTATGTTATGTCGTTAACGTTTATTTCGTTTTAAACTTATATACTAATGCGGGGTTGATTTTCGACACTTGGGCATAGGGATACCACTTATAGATTCTCGATTCGAATAGTCACTATTTCGAATCGATTCGAATCAGATTTCGCGATTCGGAGAAAAAGAGCGATGTACCGACTGAAAACAAATATTGAATGTTCGCTCATCGCGGTTATCAGTGGCAACCAATCTGCCGATAGCGTTTATGCGATACTCCCTGGTATCACACGAAATAACGGAAAGAATATCCCGAGCGGAATTGCAAATAGATTTCAAGGTATTGACTTTCACCGTGCCGTCGTCATTTATTTTTAAGTTCCGCACAAACACTCCTTCACGCATCACACGAGCATTCCAGTGTTGGGCGATTTTTGCCAGTCCAGTACTTCATTCAATGGACTAAATCCGGGATGGCGAACCGCTGACCCGCGGGTCACACCTTGTTTTTCGCTTATCCGCCTATTGACGACAAATGTAAAAAAACTACAACATTTCTGTGATAGAAATTGATGTTAAGACAATCCCCAATTCAATCTAACATAATTATGTGAACTATAGTATGCTGTTACAATTTTTATGAGGTAACCATACCTTTTGTTTATGCGTGACAATCGCATTGTGAGTTCATTTAGTTATTAACTGAACGTTTAAATCACTTTTCAGGTTGCTGCTCACTCTGGATCCTAATAATTTTCAACTTCAAATGACATACGTTGAGCGATTGACGAAGTGGTCAAAGATTGAACAAGCGGTTGCTGCTTTGAATGAATGCATAGGCGTTCTTCAACTTGACTTAGAGCCGGACTCAAGGAAGCTGGCAGAAGCTTGGCTTCGACTGGGACAATGTTCCATGATAAAAAATCAAGCTGACCTTGCGACTACCCATATTACGCGAGGACTGAACGAAGCTACAGATAAACAAGCATCTGATTTTAATAAAGCAGGAAAACAAGCAGCTTCTGTGAACTCTAGTACATCAACGAGTCATAACGTTGAATATGATATCACGATGACCTTCTTAGAAGACAATCATGAGGTGCAACATACCGCTAAATTAGCGCGCGAAATACTTGGGGAAAAATCGGGCGAACTGACTGAAGTGTATGTCATTCTCGATAAAGCTGCCTCCCGACTAAATCCTTCGGACAAATTCGGTGGCGTAATGAAGCTGGACAACATAAGACAAGCCTTGGATATATACAGAGCAATATTAGTGTTCAAACCAAGACACAGAGAAACACTAATCAGGCTTGCTCTGTGCTACTCAAAGCTAGGGCGACACAACTATGCGATTAAGATATACGACTATTTGCTATCGAAAAAAGATTACGCACAGGACAACGCCATACTATCTGCCAGAGCAGCATGCTATCGGGAGCTTGGCAAAAAGGTACGTTGGTAATACTTCTCTAGAAGTAATTTCATTGTGGGTGTTCGTATATAATGCAAGATAGCATAGCTTTGCTTTAAAAATTGATGACAATTCAGAATCATTCAACCCAAACAATCAAATTAAATTATTTTACCTCAAATTGCAATTTAATATTTATTTATATGTTATATATGTCACTCCACGTATTTGTAGGTTGAAGCCCGCAAGGATTACGACACTCTGCTTAGAGACTCGCCAAAAGATGCCTCTCTTCTTTTTGAGCGCTCTCTTGTTCATTTGGAAAACAAAGAAATAGACTCTCTTGTGAATGACTTACAGGTATTTAGACGTATTATTTTGTCGGCCCTTTCCAGTTATATAAAATCAATCGAAAGTGTCAACGGCACTTTTCGACGTGAAATTATAAAATCTAGCATAGTATTCCCTGGTACAACATTCAAATGGACTTTAACCTATTACACTGTTGTTGCAGGCTGCATGCAAGTCTAACCAGCGAACGGTTTCTATTTGTATGAACAAGCTTCCTCTCGCACAGCGAACGAAAATACGACAAATTTTGTTTGAACATTCCAAAGCACTCCTACAAGAAGCGCAAATGCCTGATATCGGTAATGAAATTCTATGCAATTTAGTAGTCATTTCTGAAGTATATGCAGAGTAAAATCTCAATTCCTATGGCACGTGATGGCGATCAAACGATTTGAATATTCTATTCGATCATTTGTGAAATATCAAATATTGTCTTTCTGTTTGCGTGTTAGTAAAGTTTTATGGGTTTTTCCTATATTTGTTTCAATAATACTGCCAGTGGTCTCCAGTTCTGCACACTGAGACTACAACAAATGCGCAATCCACTTCTGCTCTGATTGTTGTTCAAGTAACAATACTGAACATTATTATTTTATGAAGGGAAAAAAGACAGCATCGATACGAGTCCTAATAGTGCTGGATCGATGGCGCTCACAATATCACAACTTTTGACAAAGCTAAACTCGGCTGATCATGCTTCTCATATTATCAAAGCACATGCTTTATTTTTCGTCGGAAATTTTAGTGATGCTGAAGTTAGTTTGAAACGATTATTGCACGATAATGCTGAAGTGAGCATATTTATTTTTTATCAGTTTTCGCGTTCATGTTGTTAACAAAGCATTCTCCCTGATTATATTCGTTGTCGGTAACAATGTTGAACAAAATCGAGTTATCTCATAAGTTGGCACTCACCACTTGTATTTGCGTCAAAGTTAACAGATTGCCCGTGAAACTATACAACTTATTAAAAAGCAATGCACTGCAATGATATTTACCTTGTTCTATTGGTGTATCTCTGAATTAGTGCCATTTGAATATGAATTTCGCGTTTTTTTTTCTCTGAATACGTCACCGTCTATTGGAATCTAGAATGATCCTAACCAATTAGCAAATAATGTATAAATTCCATACATTTCGTTTTACCAATATTTTCACTATCTTTCTAAGAATCCGGATAATCACATGATCAAACTTCACCTTGGTTTGTTGAGGATTCTCACTAAAAGAACGGACGAAGGGATGACATCGCTAGTCGAGGTAGAAATTTCAACTGCATAAGATAATCAATATGTGAACGAAAAACATATTTGTAACGAGAATGCACTCGACCGCTTTTTCTCAATTAATTACAGCATGTATAAAGTGCATATGTATATATTTCGGTTCAGAACCTGATAGGTGATTAGGTATCATACCTTTTGACTGTAATGGGTTTGATAAAGTTTTGATTACACGGACACAAAATAACTTATCAAACCATAACTGTTCTCGCTAAAGACAGAATATTTCAAATAAATACATTCGTGTTCGTCAGGTCTTGTCGTCTAACGGCGAGAGACTCGTTTCGAACCTGCTGAGGGACATCCCGGTTTCAGAACGGGGTCGACTTTCCGAAGAGTCTCATCAGTATGCCATCAATATTCTGCAAAAGAGAAGAGATCAAGACGTTGTTCGATTTGCTGCCCATTGCTTTACTATAGCTATTTTGTGTTGTAGAGGAACTGAGCTCATTTTAGAAGGTAAGCATTCGTAAGAAATGTTTAATATTATATTATTCGAATTTTGCGACGTTAAGCATAAACGTTAAAAACGACATTCTGTGATGGTCATTTCGAGAGGTTAAACAAAGCAAGCTCAGGAACATTGATTTTAATCGTAGATGAAAGATTTCGGCGCAATTTGCATATTCAAAAACTATAGGCTTATTGGGAAGGTTCTGCAATTACAAGAAAACATAGTAGTCTTTTGCATACCCTTGACTGTTCCCTAATGCAGGCCGCTGGTTGGGGCGATTGGGTAAATCATCCGATAGAAAAGGTAAATTTCAGTTGCAATTCGGTCTATGAAGCTACAAAATGCAATAGGGATTAAAATGTCGGATGTGACGAAAAAGAGAATTCTCTTTTTCTACGCTTTAAAGCGTAGCAGCGATTTTATATGGTACGTAATGGACAATAAAAACTTTGCAAACAATTGTTGAAATAGTTTGAGTGGAATCTTCTTCTGAGAAATCTGTGGTTATATTTGGGTCGATGCCCACTGGTTTGAGTGTTATGAATGACAGAAATAAGCAATGTTCGTTTTATATACTGAGAGTTACAGCATTTCGTCATTTTCGTGTAAGTATGTGCATGAAGAATTACATAAAGAAATGAGCCTCATACACTGGAAAGCAGCAAAGTACTATAAATTAAATTCCAATTATACTTATACAATGCGAATTAATTATTCTCAATACGTGAAGCTAATACTTTTTAGCATTGGGATTATGGTGTGGTTTCTATGTTAAGGTGAGGAAACTCACCATATCTGTCGATTCCATTAGGACTCGGGCCTATAACTTGATTCATGTTCTCTTTCGCTTCAAAATTTCGCTTTGATCTAGGTTCACAAAAATCAGATACGCTTTGGAATATACTTGTGGATTCCGAATGTCTTGTTGGAATCAGGAAAAAATATAATAAAATGACAAATTCAGCCTGGGCTTTATCATTCGTTGACGTTTATGACGAATACAGACCTCCAAAATGTTCGATATTTTCCGGTGCTAGAGAACGGAAATTAAACTTCAACATTGAGCACATTTTTCCGAAAAAATCAATAAATCATCGTAAGATGTGTGTTGTTGTGCGATTGCTTGCGCTCGTAATCATAGAAAGTAAAACACAATTTCACGATGCGAAATTAACGAATATAAAAATTATATTCGATTTTCTTGCTGTGCTTGATTGGCTTTTTACATAAAGCGGTAGTTTAGGTTCCAATTTAAACGATCAAATGACCTAATTTTTTCCGAAGGCCAAAAATACCTGAAAGGGAATGGTGTTTATAGAGTAAATATCAAATACAAAAATCAGAGCAAATTTTGTTTGTCCTCAATATGGTGTAATCTCTGATCTCTTTCATATGTAGCGTTAGCTACGGTGAATTCTGTTCTGAAGTGCATAAATCTTCGAATGGTACCAAACCAGTTATATATAATTCATCAAATTGAATTTTTACAGGTTTAAATGGAGTCACCGGCGTTTGTAGATCGTATTTGGCAAGAGCCGAATGCATGGCACATCTAGGAGATCAACAAAGTGCAGTACTTGACTTTTCAGCTGCATTGGAGGTTTGAATTCTTGTTATATAATCTTGTACAGTCATCAGCTTCAACGTTGTTTTTACGCGCTAAACTACAGATGCAATCAACGTTTTCATACACCACTTGTTTTTTTACATCGAGATAGTAATTTTAAAACAAGAGAAACTTTATAACTTGTCAATTTTATACAATTCGGAGAAAACGTCAAACTCCTCATCACGCTGTGTAAGAAAGGAAGTCTCAAAGGATCTATTAACATTATCATATTTTTGGTAGGTTAATCCAAGTTGCGTGGAAGGATTGTGTGGGCGATCTTTTATGCGTTTGGCACTAGGAGATGAAAACGAATGTATCGACGATATTGCAGTAGCTTGTGAGCTTGACATATTTACTGTAACAGCTCATATAAATGCTCTGCCCGATGAAGCAAGAAATTTACTCGAATTCTGGATAGGTTCGTACTAACTAATATATAATCATGCATCAACATTTGAGATACTCTACAGGCTACTCACGAATATTTTATTATCGTGGATAGTTTTGTCAAGTTCTGTTTTCTAACCTCTATATCTCTGATGTATAAAAGTGACCTCAAACAGTGGTATTCAATCGACTCCGTTGGTTTACATTGTTGCATGCTTTAACTGTAGCTATATGTGAACACAGCGCAATCAATTTTAGACGTACCGTATATACATCCACAACTTACAATATAGTTCCCATTTTTAAACCCTCTTTCGCGCATACGTCATTATAGGTATTTGTAGAACAGACAACGTAAAAGAATAGCGCCATTTTATGAAGGAATAAAAAAATTGCAATGTAAAGCCCATAACGCTGTAAATTTTTATTACCGGTAATTATTTTATTTTTATTTAATTAATATTGTACACACCGAGGATTAGCAGGGCCGCGTACTTACATCGTCTCGCTAATTCTCACTACTTTGTTCACGTCTTTTAGATCACAGGGTTGTTGCTCTTCTTCTCAATCACGGATACAAAGCTGGAACTTATGATCGTTTGAATACAAGTGGATCACTTTCCACTATCAGGTATAATATTACATATCATTATCTAGTTTAATATTAGGCTTAAGCACTTACACAGGTTTAGTAAGAGTATTGCATTTTGTTTTAGCAAACAATTGTGATAATAGCATTAAAATATATATTAATTTTACTAAATATTATTGCAGTATTACTGATGAAACTGCTTATAAAGCGGAATATCAAGACTGTTCTAGACAATCATCGCTAACATCAATGGCGTCACCGACACCGTCCAAAACTAACGAAGCAAACAACGTTACAAATAATCAAACAAGCATGGGAGAAAATGTACGTAATACTGTGAAGAGGTAAAGGTAGAATAGAATATAGAAAATGTTATTGCATGCACTGCGTATCAGGCTGCAAAATCACGTGTTAATATGAGATGGGTTTAATAATTGTATATTCAACTAAATTAGTTCCGTGCTATCTTTTTATTGCCCCGCCACTATGATAAGTTTGGCTAGGATAAGTTATTGTCCTCGACTTTCTGTAAGATAAACAGAAAAAGGAGGGAAAATATCCTAAATTTTAGTTTACATCATTCCTATAAGGTAAACAGAACAAAAGACAACCGATCATAAAATTAGTAGTGAAGCAATAACAGGATGCAGTACCTGGATCTTTCAAAACAAGTATATATAGTTGATCTTTACTTCAACTGCGTACTCTAATTTTGCTCCGAGTTCGTTTGCATTTTGATCTTCGTTTAGATAGCACAGAATGAATCCCCCAATGAGAATAACACTGGCCCTAAGCCTGTAACTACATTGAAAAAGAATAGCGGGACGGAAACTGTAGTAGCCGATGTACATGCCTCAGATTTTCTTGACGCAGAAACAGGCCTGAAAGACGTGCACGGACGCCAAGAAAATGGATACGCTAACAGACGACTTCATAGGTATTTATCAGTATTTTACAGTTACAATTCTACGTCATTTATACTCGTTTTTCTGATGTAATCCTATACTTCTGTGAAATGAAAAGCCTTCTCCCAAAATCTTTTAAAATTTTACTCTTCTGTTTAAGTTCCTGTAACTTTTCCACGCGTTCACCTTCTAACTTGTTTGTTTACATGAAATTTAATCATGCGTGACTGCTTTCGCCGACTCATTTACTTGTATATTGGAACAACTTGTCTCTTGATGTTATCTAAATTTTGCTATCTGTAATAAAAATAAATTTGAATGCTCTAATTTGTTCAACTTATTTCTTTCAAACAGATCATCGACGAGCTCGAGACATATGGATGAAGAACTATTGAAGAGTAACCCACCAGTGCTGCATGAAAACTCAGGCGTTAAAGATGAAATGTCTGCTCAATGTGGGTATATTAGTAGATTACCATCAATGTGTCTTATTGTTGAAAACTTTGTTTCGTAAAATCTTGGCTCCCTATCGTCTCATCCTCACGACGATACGCGAATTAAATTTCCCATGGTGGAGCCATTGGCACATATCGTCTTTCAGTGGTTTAGTGTCTCTATAACCAAAAATACGACAAAAGAAATGGGGGACAAGTAGTGAGAAAATGCCATGGATTTTAGGCTTTATCGCCAAATTCCTTATTATTTTTCAATGCTGTGTATGAGCGGATTTGCCCTCGAATCATGACGTAGACAAAAGTCCTAACTTGTCCCAATGCAACATAAGCGTGAAATAATTATACAACTTTATTTTACTTCTCAATTATATGCGATATAGAAGTATTGAATTATGGCAAAATTGTTGCTCTACATCTTACCAATATGAATAAAATAATGTGTATTGCATATGCTGGTTGTGTTCGCAGTCATTCTAAATGTAACATCAATCATAGATTCTAAGGAAGACCAGAAATTACTCAATGACAGTCGACAATCAACTGTAACAACTAACGCTTCTTCTTTCGGATATGATGACTTGATATCTGGAATGGAAAAGGCGGAATTGCTCAACAAATCACAGTTGCTTGGAAAGCTGCTGATAACTCTTGATGGAGCTAACGCGTCCTGGCATGGAATGTATGCGGATATACTTATAGTTAAAGGTTAGTTATTTGATATTGATGCAATTCAATCGTTCAGTTTATTTATACATATCGTTGAGATAAGAGTGAAATAAATTACGTTGATCGACAAGTATAGGGTTGAGGATGTATAGAAACTTTTGATACCTAATCGCGAGTTGTTCGAAAATCTCCCTCCCTGATGGACTGATTCTTAACTATAACTTTGTCTGCCGATATGAAGATCAAAATTTACCGCGTTGGTATGCAGCCATTGCAACTCCATAATAGCGTATCCCTTTAAGCCTTGTATTGTTTCTATTAAAGATTAACGATTAAAATATATATTGTTTTCCCCAACTTCCAATGATTTGAAGGTCCGATTAGAATTAGAGCAGGAAATAGCCATATTCTGGAGTTATGTCTGTATGGTATAAATAAGCTATCAGCAACATGCTGGCATCCAACAGACTATAACAGTGGTAATTGTTTTAGGTGAATTTGACGACGCATTGAGGCACCTACAAATTGTTCTGCAGATCACTCCTTCCGATATTACAGCAATAGCTCGAGCTGGTCTAATAAACGTAAAACAAAACAGATATCGGCCTGCTTGCGCATTACTCAGTGTATTGGTGGAAATTGACAAAAATGGATTGGCTTATGTTTTAAGAGCATTGGACAGATCAAGGCAAAGAAGACTGGCGGAGGTAATTTTTGATCTTCGTTGGTGATAAATTCTACTTTTCGTTGGTCTTTTCATGCATTTTTTTGCCGTAGAGTTATAGCATGGGAGTAACGGAAAATAATTATATTCACAAGTTTGATATTTTGTGGGTTAATATACCAACTGCCTGTCCATAGCAACAAATAAGTAAAAGTCATCCATCACAACGCGACTCAAGTGTTAATCTTATTCTTGTATAATGTGTAATGAGCTTCTGCTCTTACCTTATGTCAGGGGTCTCAAACTCAATTTACCTAGAGGCCACTGAAGCATGGTTTGTGTCGGTCTGGGCTACATCAGGTTTTCCACAATAAAAGCTTAGTTTAAAAAATCTTCTCAAATTTCTTTATTTTTTAAACACAAAACAAGTTGAAAACACATATGAACAAATTATGACTATATAAAGAAATGACTGAAGGCGCGGCGGTGTGGCTCAACGGGCTAAGCTGGTCGGTTGCGGCTTCCTCCACCACCAAGTCCATGCTTCCGAAGACAAACAATATAACTAATCCCATACCCGACTTGGAATGGTAACCGGACGAGAGGCCGTGGTTCACCATATGGATAAGTCGTCTTATCGGCTTTCCTCTCGCCCGGGATAAATATGTAAATCCTATCCTATATTAAGAATTAATATATAATTAGTGATCGTGCCGCCAAAAATCCGAGTACTTATAACTTATATTAAATGCGAACTTAGCTAAGTGTCACACTAACATTAAACTCCCATACCAAGGCGGGGACCACAAACTATCGTCCCACAGGCCGCAATTGGCCCCCGGGCCTTGAGTTTGAGACCTCTGCTTATGTGGTATAATCTTTCAAGTTATGTTGATCCAGAATTTCCGTAACTTTATCATCATGTAAACTATTTGTCAACAGGAAGCGTTAAGTATCGCCAATTCATTGAGTGCAAATGAGAATTATAGCAAAGCAATCGATTATTACGGACTAAGCTTGTATGCCAGTGGAGATAAACGTGCCGAAAAATTACGTATGAGAGCAAAATGCTTCACAAAAATTCGGGAAATTAGGTAATATCTCATATTTATTTGTATTTCCAAATGAATAATTTCTGTAGAGAATTTTTTTTTATTCAAATCTGCCCTATCTTTGGTTTTGTCAGTTGCCAAAATATGCAAGTACGTTTTCAGGCATGCAGCATGGAACTTAGCTCTCACTGGGAAGTCGCCTTAATACCTGGACTTGGTCGCATAAGAATATAAAAGACTATGTGTATATCCTATAGAGTAGAACATTTCGGAAGTGTGTTTTGAAATTAGTCTTCTAAATTGCACAGTTTAATTCCATCTCAAATGATACTCGTGCGATTTAAATAAAATTGACCAAATTGCGCTTCAACGTTTGCAAACTTCATTTCTTACCCAACGATCAGACCAACTAAATAATTCGATTTGCCATGGATTATAGTATTTTATTCATTCGATTATTGCGTATAGTTGCTCCCTGTATAATAAATGACCTCACAGCACGACATTCCATATTTCCAAGAAGTTTAATGAAGAGCCATTCCAAATCTGCTTCGACGAAACTCCGATCTTCGTCCTGTTAAATAAAAAGGAAAACATTAGTTCCGATCTACACGAGGCAATTTACATGAACTTCGAAAATCTTCTGCACTTGTTTCCAATTTTCATTGCATAATACAACTACACAATGGCTGTTAATGTTAGTTAAAATGAATCGTCCGATTAGTGATTCGAACTATCTGCAATAGTGCAAAATCAAATTTTTACGCTATGCACTGTTAGTTCTCAAATGGGACTTGTAGTTGGATATATAATCATAATCTAATTCTCGATGCTATGAGGTATTACACATTTCAATTTAGATCTCAAATCTTATAACAGTATTTGAAATATAAAACGTTCAAATCGCCAACATTCCCTGACTATAATTTGCAATTTAATTTATTAACACACAATTCGTCATTTTTGGGAAGAGGGAGCGTCACTATAGACATTGTGAAGTATTTCAACTGGTTAATTTGTATACGCGACTGTTTATTATTCAATGACACTCGTGTTCTTAGGAACTCCGATCCCTATATTATTGCTTGTCTATATATATAATATGGTAAAATAAACAATATTTGCTGCCTATGTTACTGAAATGGAGCGAAATTGGCTAAACTTTTTTGGTGTATGGAATAATATGAAATACTTACCTCTCAGAGATTCTACGCCGACTAATACCATTGACACAAGCATCATGAATACAACTAGTTTTCTGAGCACGGTTGATAAGTTTGCCATCTTGCGTCTCTTCGGTTGGCTGGAGAAGTTGTGACACATTCTGTAACATACGTACTTATGTAGGCGTTTCTCAATCAATCAAATATGCGTTTAATATGTTTACGCACGGAAGGAAAACCGTTACACAGGATAGAATTATAATATATAGGTTAACTACATAACTGTCAGCTCAAACCGTTAATCTGGCATATATGTCATGATGCCAATTTGCCATGATCGCGATTTGTCATTAATCAGTTTTCACTACGCGCTGCGCGACCACTCAAATGGCTGATATGAACCGTTTTCTAATTTAGAAAACGCCTTGTTGAGTGGTATAATAACACAGGCGATGTCTATTTGTGGTATCTGTAAGATTGTGACCATTGTGCAAAATAAATATAATTTCACGACATAGTAACTTTAAATACCATTTATGGCTCCGGAGGTGCAAATGGGTTTAATCTTCGACGGACGAAGGATGAATTCATTTTTATCCGTAAATAAATACAGTGCTTATATGTTACGGCTCAAATAAATTCGGATTATGATTCTGAAACTCAAATTTCTCATCTAAAAAGATTTCCCGTTGAGGCTAGGAAAAAGAATATTTTTTTTTTTTTCCTGGGAAATTACAACTTTGCGAATATTTTATACTGAAGAATCTATTTTTCACCCGAGATTCTTGTCCCAATTAGGCGTAGGGATCAATACCTGTTGTACTTCATTTGAAGTTAAAATATTTTATTAACGTAGCGACTGAAACGCTTTGTATATACGGTATAGCAAATAAAATTTTCTAACACATACTACATATTGTTTTGCCCAAAGGATTATCGTTGACGCAATATTTTATATCTCAATATGATTTTATTTCGTTTGTTATTCAGAATTTTCGAAACTCTGTGGATATTTGAATATAAAAAACTAGTAAGTGAATTGGCCTTAATTTGTGTATGTCAGGCACGCAATTGAAGATATCACAACAGTCATCAAGGAATCTTCTAGAAATATAAAAGCCGGGGATTATTGTACAAGAGCTCATATCTATCTTCTTGATAATAAGGAACGCGAAGCATGTTTGGATTATATGAAAGCTTTGAAGATCGACAGGTTGTATTTAATGTTTAACAAATTCAATTAGGTTTAGTTTGGACCGGTGGTTCCCAACCTTTCTACCTTGGCGGATCGGTAAAATTAATTAAATGTACTCGCGGACCGGCAAAGAATAATGACATATATTTGCGTAATATAATGCAATGTCGGGCACCCAATATGCTTCTAGACAAAAAGGGCACACTTAAAAACATTTCTCAATAAGAATAACTATGAAATAATGTGCCAGCCAAAATTGAAATGGGTGAAACATAAAATAATACTATATATATTTGCGTAATGAAATGCAGTGCTGGGCACCCATTACACGAATAAGAAAGGCACACAAAAAACATGTGCATAAAAAAATTTTTAAATAAATTTTTACATAAATAACATATACATGCCAAATTATGTTCGAACACAATTAACTCTATTGAGAATTTTGCTGCTGTTTCGTTTCCAATATAAGATTGCAAACGAGGCCTCAAAAAAGTTTCTGCAATACGTAGCTCTGCAGCGGCGTACAGTCGATTTCTTTGCTTCGTTTTAATTAAAGCTAGTGATAAAATATTTTTTCGCATAACACATAAGTAACTGGTTGAAATACGGACAACAGTTCGATTGCTCGATTACTTAGCGAGGTTGGTATTCGTTATCAAGAGACGTCCAAAATTGTTTATTTTTTTAATCTGAACTGTATAGTAGAATCACAATTTTAATCAAGTTTTTTTTTTATCCGTCTGCAGTTGATCGAAGCCTCAAACAAAATGAATTCACATTACAATGACAAAGTCGTCGGTAACTTGGCACCAGGCTCAAAATACTGGGAAAGATCTTAGCGGCCCATGCTTTTTTTCGCGCGTCTCGTGATCATCTGCAGGGTCGCAACAAGTTCATATCTTACTGGAATATTATACTGTTATTGACTGTTTTCTGGTTTGAACAAAGAAATATTCAAAACGTTTTATATGGTCATATTAGGCAGGAAAAGCACGCAGAACAGAAAAAGCACGCGTGCCGATTTTTAGGTTTCTGAATCTTGCGAGACAGCGGAAGAGAAATTGCGCAATAAACCAACTCAATCTCGTCCTCGGTTAAGCGATGCCGCGGACCGGCAAAAAAGCTTCGCGGACCGGCGGTTGGGAACCACTGGTTTAGACAATAGCATTTCTACGTCGTTATAAATTTCCCTTATAAAGTCGATTAGTGGAGATGTTTCGTGATGTAAAATATCATTTATTACATCTCATATTTGGTTACATTCAAATTCCGTTGTCTATATTCTTTAAATTGGATTAATATTTTTTGGATATACTTTTAAATGTCTTCAATTGAAATTTGTTCTATTAAGCCTTTGTCGATAGAAGTTCAGCAAAAATACAAAAACACTGAAACTTATATTCTTTAATAAAATGCTATGCTTCTTTCTGCTGAGAATGTTTAATTTAGAATATGTTTGGTATTCTATGCACCAAATGTCAGAATGTCTGTGGTAGCGTAGGTATTACATATTCCCTATTTACAGAGATGAGGCTTGCCTACAGATTCACAGCAGGCCAGGCCGAAGCGCATTGGCGCGGGTGTTCTATCGACAGGCGCTGGATGAATATGGACATCACCATTATCAGGTACGTTAAATGAAATATGTTTTTAAAAGCGAGACTTCCTATGTAGCTGCCATGTACGCAAATGTAAGCAAATACCACGTGATTACTATAATTTGTAATTACTTTCTCACTGAAATAATGCGGTGTTGCATTAGCACAGATGAGTAGAATCGGGCTTAGAATCATATTTGCTGCAGTTCATTTTCTAATTTGAACCCTCAAAACGTTCAATACTCCATGATTGAATCATGTTCTTACTTCGATATGCCGAAGACTACTCATTTTAATAAACCATAGAGTGTGATGTGTTAATTACTAGTGGAAGCTTGATTTGTGGCCTAAAACTTCAAAATCTGATCACCTTTTTTAATTTTAAAACCTTTGTTATAGGATTCTTACGACTTGTGTGAAAACGGTTTGCTCATTGAAGACAACAATATAGATCTCCGTAAGCTACGAGCAAGATCAAAACGGGAGATCAGCAGTTGCACTATTCAGTAGTTTGGTCTCGTGTAGGCAAACAAACTAATGTGTATACAAGAATTTGTTGCCAACCGTAAACTGGTATCATTCCGCAGACTCATGCTTCATAGAGCACTTCTCAACAACGAATTGCATTGTCATGCGTGAATAATATAATATGACTTGCCTATTCCTGGTGACGATGTCAATTTTGGGATTTCAAATAAATACTTACTTTAATATTACTTTATTTCCTTTTTAGTTATTTTTTAAAGAATCCAAAATTCCAAAGTGCTGACCATCATTATCATGACAAATATACCTGTATAAAACAGGCATTGCATTTCAATGAACTGTCATTGTTCTGATTTATGGAGTCTATACAAATTTTGCAAAAGATACTAAATAAAGGAATGCGGTTGCACACCTTTTCACTTCCCTATTTCGAAATGAGTATAATCTAATATGTCAGGATTTGTGTTTCCGGGATCGTACACAGATAATACGGTATTACAGGCAGTGATATTTCATATTTGCTCTTGAAATATATGTTTTCTATCCTCAAAAATATTCGGGGAAATTGATTTAGTATATTAATCTTCTTTTGTTAGGAATATAGATTGTGGTTCGCCTTATATATGTGCGAGAATCGTCCTATTTCGTATAAAGAGGGGGTTGTGCCACATCTTGCCTGTATTTCGGATGTATTCAGCGCTTTATCGTATTCAGCAAAATCGAAATCTTATAAGGTTTTTTCCATTGTTTGATTTTTTTCAACTTCGTTTCGATCTAACAGGTATCCAGGCCGGATAGCGACTGTCAAAACAGCGACTTAACTCGTGTTAGGACCTCTCTACACACGTATGTACGCACAAACAGGCAAACACTGCGTAGTGAAAGATTGAAACCAAAAGGGACTTTAAAACATTTTATTGGACTAACCCTAACGCTATCATAACAGTCGCCATTATGACAGTCGCTGTTTGACAGTCGCTCACTTGATTACGTTGCTATTATGAAGTTGTCATTATGACAGTCGCTGTTTCGACAGTCGCTATTTGAAACCCGAGCCATCTAACATCATCAATAAATACCGAGTAGCATCTTTTCTCTTGATTACTGTATCTTCTTCAATAATGAGATGATGATTCACGCTGTGTGTGAGGTGAAATAAAAAAAAATCGAAGAATCCCGTGATCAGCTTTTAACATCCAACAGAAAGCGTTAAGTTTCGCCAACTCATTGAGTGCAAACGAGAATTATATCAAAGCAATCGATTATTACAGACTGAGTTTGTATGCATATGGAGATAAACGTGCTGAAAAATTACGCATGAGAGCAAAATGTTTCACAAAAATTCTTAAAGTTGGGTAATACCTTACATGTATCTGTATTTTTTGAATGGATAATTTCTGACGGGGTTTTTCAAATCAAATTAGCCCTTTCTATGGTTTTGGGTGGTCCAAACCCGCGAAGCAATGTGGCCCGCCACTTCATTATCTGTCGCCCGCGTCGCATTCGGAGAAAAATCAAAAAATCGCACTTCGTGTTGTTTCGTCATAAAATTACCCAAAAAATCTTTTGACATATTGTTGCATCACTAATGTCACTGAATTGACTAGTGTTATGGCTTGCTGAGGCAACTAGCAAAGCTAAACGAGCGAAGTTCTTGGCACTATTATGGCCCGCGAACAATGCAAAAGTAATTTTGTGGCCCGCGGAGCTGGCAATCTTGAACCACCCTGATATATACTATAGAATAAAACAATTCGTGAGTGTGTCTGGAAATAGTCTTTTAAGTTACACAGTTTGATGCCATCTCAAATGATACATACTTGTGCAATTTAAATTGACGGAATTGCGCTTCATCGTTTGCAAACTGCATTTTCTAACCCACAATCAGACCAACTACATTATCCTTATTGCAATGGTTATGGTATTTTATTCATTTGTTTATTGCTTATAGTTTTGCTCTGAATGATAAATAACATCACAGTACGACATTCAAGATTTCCAAGAAGCTTAATGAAGCGCCATTCTGATTGTGCTTTGACGAAACGTTCTTCGTCCTGTTAAAATGAGGAAAAACATTAAATCCGATCTAAACGAGACATTTTACAGAGACTTAAAAAATCTTTTGCACTGTTAGTTCTCAAATGTGACCTGTATTTGAACAAGGGAGCTATGTTCAAATATAATTATGAACACGTAGCGCCACATAGTGGCAAATTCTGATGGCGTCATATCAGACAAAAACTAATCACATACAGCTCACCGGAATATTTGAAATAAATAAAAGCCTTCTAGCAAGAAATTTATTCTTTAACCACTGAAAAATACAAAGCGATCGGTCCAGTAATCAAAGAGAAAAGCGTGTGTGACAAAGAACAACAACATAATATAAATATTAAAACGACCCATGGGACCCATTACGTGTCCAATAAATAATCGTACTATAATTGTCGTTGCTATGAGTTATGACGCATGATATATATCCACATTTTCTGCTGAAATCGAAACAAAATTGACTTTTTTGGTTTATGGCATAAAATAAAATACTTACTAAAGGCCATAGATTCTACTCCGAAAAAAACTATTGACACAAGCATCATGAATACAACTAGTTTTCTGAGCAGGGTTGAAAATTTTGCCATCTTGCGTCTCTTCGGTTAACTGGAGAAGTGGTGGCAACATGTTTATAATAACATATTTATGTACGCGTTTCTCAATCAATCAAATATGCATTTAATATGTTTTTGTTGTTCAAGGAAGGAAACTCGTTACACAGGATATCATTATAATAAGTCGACTACATGACTTTCAGCTCGAACCGTTGATGTGGCTTGTATGTCATGATGCCAAATAAAGTTTCGCAATCTGTTATTGATCAGTTTTCACGGCGCGCTGGACGACCAATCAAAAGGCTGATATGAGCCGTTTTTTTTTTCAAATTTGGAAAAAAAACTTTTCGGGTGGTATAATAACACAGGCAATGTTTATTTATCTATAAGATTGTGACCATTGTAAAAATAAAGATAATTTTATGACATAGTTACTTTACAGTACTATTCATGGCTCCAGAGGGGCAAATAGGTCAATTATTCGAAGGACGAACGATGAATTCATTCTTAATCTCTGTGCTTGCATGCCTGTATGTTACGGTTCAAAAAATACGGTTTATGATTCTGAAACTCAAATTTCCAGGGGAAAAGAGTATTTGTTTTTCCTCCTGGGAACTTACAACTTTGCAGTTGCACCATCCAGTAGTTTAGTCTAGTTTAGCGCTTCTCAACAACGACTTGCATTGTCATGCGTGAATAATATAATATGACTTGCCTATTCTTGGTGACAATGTCGATTTAGGGGTGTTGAATGAATTGAATAAAAACTTTATTTAATTTTTTTAAGAATCCAATTTTTGTTGAAAATTTTATCAGAGCGACTGATAAGTATTTGTATATATTTATGGCGTTGGATAGTATAGGTGTATGATTTCTCCTACATCTTAGTCGTTGTTTTGAGATTATACAAAAAGCTTTAACTGCCAATGAAATACATTTGCTGGATTTTAAAGCGGTTGGGGGGACAAAACTTTAACTAAATATAACATTGTTATAATAACTACATCATAATGAAAACCTGAAATGTTTCGTTGCAATTTCTGTTCTGAGACATGTGTTAATGTCATAGATTGTTTTTTTTTTTATTATGCTTCAAAGTAGAGGCCACAGCAGAAAAGGCCCCCCACAGAATAAAACATAACTATTTGTTTGATGAAGACAGAATCGTCAGCACTTATTATATTATTGTCCCCACTTCGTATCCGCTGAAAACTCTGTACTGCTTCTGTGGCATATGTGGCGTACTAGACATTTTGAGTCAATTTTCGATAAGAACAAAAATCAAAAAAGTAATTCAAACTTTGATTGAATGAATCGTTGTGGAACTCGAACTAAAAATATAAATCTATCAGACTGGAGAAAAGATTAGCAAAGGAAGGAACTTGTCAAAAAATTGACATAAAATGAAACACTTGCAAGTAAAAATAATAGCGTGATATTTTGTAAGATCGCATAAGGATATAAAAGACCATGTGCATATACTATACTATAGATAGACTATAGAATACTGTATAACATTTAGGAAGTGTGTTTTGAAATCATTCCTTTAAATTGCACAGTTTGATGCCATCCCAAATGATACTCGTGCGATTTAAAATTTACCGGGCTGGGCTTCAACGTTTGAAAACCTCATTTCCTAGCCAACAATCAGACCAAATAAATAATTCTTACTGCAATGTATTATGACATTTTATTCAATTGATTTTGCCGTATAGTTTTGCCACGAATAATAAATAACATCACAGCACGATATTGCCAATCATAACGAAGATTAATGAAGCGGCATGTTGAATCTACTTCGGCGTAATTCTCAGCCCATGTGTCTTCTTCGTCCTGTTTGAATAAGGAAAACATTAAATATTCAATACACTTGTATAGAGACTTCTAAAATCTTCTACGTTTGTTTCCGATTTTCATTGCATAATACGGGTATACAATGGCTGTTAATGTTCAGTAGCTGTTACAACAGGTTCCATTACATTTGAACCCACGTACATTTGAACCCATGACAATTGTACCTGTATGCTATTGCACCTATGGAATTTTTTTTTGTTTCACGGATAGTTAAACCCATACTAACCCTAACCCATGGGTTTTAGCACCCGCATATAGATTGAACCCGTGGATATACGCATGGGTTCAAATGTACGGTCACCGTTACAACATGTTATCGAACTATCTGCAATGGTTCAAAACCGAATTCTTACGTCACTGTCAGTTCTCATATGGAACTTGTATTTGAATAAATAATCATAATATAATTCTCGTTGCTATAAGCTATTACACATGATATGTATCCACATTTTCAGATAAAATCGAAACGAAATTGGGTAAAAATTTTCGGTTTATGGCATAAAATAAAATACTTACTAGAGGCCATAGATTCTATTCCGAGAAATACCATTGACACAAGCATCATGAATACAACTAATTTTCTGAGCAGGGTTGAAAAGTTTGCCATCTTGCGTCTATTCGGTCAACTGGAGAAGTTGTGACACATTCTGTAACATATGTGCTTATGTAGGCAATTCTCAATCAAATATGCGTTTAATATGTTTGCGCAAGGAAGGAAAACCGTTACACAGGATAGCAGTATAATGTGTCGACTGCATAACTGTCAGCCCGAACCGTTGATGTGGATCATAATTATGTTATTGCTAGTCGATATATATTCACAACGCGCTAGGCGACCTCTCAAAGGGCTGATATGAGTCGTTTTTTAATTCAGAAAACACCTTGTCGAGTGATATAATAACACAGGCAATGTCTATTTGTGTTCATAAAAGATTGCGACCATTGCGCAAAATAAAGATAATTCCATGACATAATAATTTTACAATACTACTTGTGGCTCCAGAGTAGCCAATGGGTCAATTCTTCGATGGACGAAGCATGAATTTATTTTTTATCCGTAAATAAATACAGTGCTTACATGCTTATATGTTACGGTTCAAATTCGAATCTTGATTTTAAAAGTCAAATTTCTCATCTGAATAGATATTCCAAGTTGAGGTTAGGAAAAAGGAGTATTTGTTTGCGACTATTTAATACTGAAAGAACTATTTTCCACACAAGATCTTTGTCCCAATCTGGTTTGGGGATCAATACCTTTTGTACTTCATTTAAAGCGAACATATTTTATTAACGTAGCGACTGAAACGCTCTGTATATATGATATAGCAAATAAAATTTCCTAACACATACTACATATTCTTTCGCCAAAGGATTACCGTTGACACAATATTTATATTCCAATATGATTTTATTTCGTTTGTTATCCCGAATTTTCGAATCTCCGGATATTTGAATATATATGATAAACTAGTGAGTGAATTTGCGCTAATTTGTTTATGTCAGACAAGCAATTGAAGATATCACAACAGTCACCAGGGAATCTTCTAGACCAGTGTTTCCCGAACTGTGTTCCGCGAGCATCTTCCTAGTGTTCCATAGAAAAGGGATCAAAATTACGACTTAATTGATCGCCATGGCTATCTCGGGATCGTGAAGTTGTCGCCCAACTGGCGACCGTTCAATATCGCGTCACCGTAGGCCTAAATCGGACTAACTTTTTGAGAGTAGTGGCATTTTCGTTAACCGTCGGCCTACCTTTTTGACTGTCAAGTTCATTATCAAGTTTACAGCAATCTTTTTGGTTTTTCTCTATGCAAACGTGTAACTGTAGGCCTAAAGAATAAAGGCTAAAGGTCAACTTTTCTTTCTCCATCTCAGCCTTGTTTTATATTAAAATGCTGAAAAAATCACTCTTGTTCGCTAAACTCGATCAGCAGATAAATGAACTGCAGCAAGTACGTCTCCATTGTTACGTAACATTAGAGGCAAACCTACCTAGAAAGTAAACGACATAGAATGGTGTATGAACTTATTGATTTATATATACAGCATTTAAAATAAGAAGCAATAAAACATTCACAATAAATGCAATATGTAAATTATTCAATCAGATTTTAGTTATGTTGAACACAATTCTGTTAGTTTTCGCAGCGCATTTGGCAACTCGCCGCGGAGCACTAGTAGCGCACTCTTTGAGAATCGCTACATCACACCATTTTTCTTGATCAATTTTACCCTTTCATTTTTTGGTGTTCCGCAAGGCGAGATAAAAAGCGTATTGTGTTCTGTGGCCAAACAAGTTTGGGAAATGCTGTTCTAGACAAATAAAAGCCGGAGAATATTGTACAAGAGCTCACATCTATCTTCTTGATAGGAAGGAAAGCGAAGCATGTTGGGATTATATAAAAGCTTTGAGGCTCTGCAGGCTGTATTTAATGTTTAACGGATTTAGGTTTAGTTTAGAGTAAACAATAACATTCTCACATCGTTATAATTTCCCTTATGATTTGACTGTAATGTCAATGGGTGGAGAGGTTTCGCGAATGTAAAATATCACCAAATATTCCGTTGTCTATATTCTTTATATTTAATAGATAGAATTTTTTCGCATGGTTTGTCAAATTTGGATAGAGTTTTCCTTCAAGAAGATAACTTTTCATAAAGATCAAGTAGTGATACATCTCTCGAATAGAATATAGATAATTTCTCCATTGCATAGCACCTCAAAAAATACCGTGTGAATTTTTTTTTGCGCCATTAAACCCTTTGCACTTAGTATCAATTTGTTGGCGTTTTGTTGTCATTTGTCTAATTATAATGAAATTATAGGCTCAACAAACTAGTAATTGTGAAATATATACTTGTTAGGTTACAATATAAATTAGTCTACACGTGTCTTACCATTCTGTTACGTAAACAATAGAATAGTCAAAACAGCCGTTTTGTTACTATATTACAGTGAAGCGTCGCGGAACGGATCTAGCACGCGGGCCGTAGGTTGCCGACCCCTGATATGGGTTATGTTTTATTATAATAACTACATCGTATAGAAAGCCTGAAATGTTTCGCTGCAATGGGTTCTGAGATGTGTCAAGTGTGAGTGTCATAAATTGTTCTTTCAATATACTTAGAGGCCACAGCTGAAAAGGCCCTCACAACAAACAAAAAAACATAAATATTTGTTTGGTAACGACAGAATCGTCAGCACTTATTATTGTCTATATACTTCGTATCCGCTGAAAACTCTGTACTGCTACCGTGGCATATCTGGTGTACTGGACATTTTGAGTCTATTTTCGATAAAAACAAAAATCAAAAAAAGTAATTCAAACTTTTATTGAATGAATGATTGTGGAACTCGAACTGGAAATATAATTTATCAGACTGGAAAAAAGATTAGCAAAGGAAGGAACTTGTCGAAAAATTCACAAAAAAATACTTTCAAGAAAAAATAATAACGTGACATTGTCTCAAACATTTTCCAATTCATCAATATCGTCATGTACTATTTGCCTTCTATTTAGTCAGCACGCTTTGCACACTCGTTGGTGCATTATGACGTCGGTTTCAGTTGGTTACTCACAGCAGAAATGATGGCCAGTCTATTAAAACATTCTATTTCTTCTACGCAACCACGAATCTTGGGTGAATATCAACAGCGCATGTACGTGAATTCACTCGTCACAAATCTGTGGGTGTTTATCAAGAAACTCCACTTAATCCCGATTTTTTCATCATCGGAGTATGAACAGTTTCGCGCGTTTTTGATTCAGCCGTATTTTCATTTATAGAGTTATTCCCAAGTTGAAATGAAAGTTTTCTTCTTGCTCCCATCAGAAACCGAACGTTCAGGAGCGAGCCACGTCGTACTTGATTTGGCTTCACTAAGAGTTCACTTTCGGCAAGTTCGGAATCCTCTGGAATAGAATGTGGATAATCAAGAGATTGAGTTCGTCTTGCAGGTCTCTGAATCTTCGGACTGCGTGATTTTACTCTTTCAGTGTTTGCTCTACGCAATCGCAACATTTTCTTTTCTCTGAATACAATGATAAATTGCATTTAAAATTGGGTAGTAAATACATGCCTATACTATACTACTTATATAATCTCGTAAAATACTGCCTGACGACATGCAGCTATATATATATATATATTTGAGAAAGTGCGAACGCGAAACCTTAACATAATATAGGGTTAGTTTATTATGTACTTTAGCTGGAGGTATTCTGTATGAGATATATACGATGTAGATTTTGTATATCCTAAAGACGTTCTATGGGTGGTATTTTTGTCGTTGTATAACAAACGTCGTTTTTTTTATGAAGCAAAAAGATAATCTAATTTTCATACTTGCGATAAAAGTCCTGAATAGTTGGTCCTCTCTTTTTGATGTGGAAAACTATTATTGCTAGTCCAATTGTTAATCCGATTGGAACAAAAACAATCAAAACAATGTAGTTGAAAATTTCTCCTGAAACAGCTCTGCTTTTTGGCGTGAATTTTCCCATTCCCAACTCTCGATGTTCTTTCATTGTGCTCGACCAAGAAAATGCAGAAAATCTGGCAACAAATCCCTGGAAAACAAAAAGTTTGGCGATAAATATAGATATATAATTAAACGATGTAATGTACATTGTTGCCGTTTTCCAGGCTTATCCATGGGACTTATTTTTCTGTCTCATTCCCATCCCATAGCAATTATGCCTGTCCCATCCTATCCAATGGGATTCCCATCGGAATAAAATTCAATGAAAATGGCTAAATTTAGGTTTAGCGTCTACTAAATAGGACTACTGTACAAATAGACATACTAAACAACAGAATTTACAGACTTTGTTAACTTTATATTCATAACGATTATACATGTGATCATCAGCCCCTTCACGAAGTATTTTGTTATTGCTGATTATATTTTGCTCGTCATAACTAACAAGAGGGCTATCCTCAAATATATGGACACGAAGTCCATAACGGAATGTTTTGCCATCATTTCCTCAAAAATCATACGGTTTTCGTGTGCCATGGGAAATACAAATGTGTGCTGTTCCATCCCATTCCATGAGACGTTTTCCATGGGAATCCCATTCCCATGGACAAGCCTGCCGTTTTCATAACACTAACATTATTCCCCGATGTATGTAGTGCAAATTTGAAGTATTGAGTTAAAATACCATTTCGTGTCGCAAAAATTGAATTGCTGATCTTGATGAGCATAATTATATTGTCGTTCTCATTTTTATGCCTTATTTAATTCTTGAATTGCTAGTTGCGTTCCAATAGTCGAAAATGAGAACTGATCATTTTAAATTAATTAGTAAATTGAATAGAATGCTAGAGGTTGTTGATCATTGTCCTAAAAATAAGATATGTGCAAACGTCTGGTATGGAATGATTACGAACAAGATGTGAGTATAGAATTCTTCAGAGGTGTATAGCAGACAACAGGCATGCAGAAAAGCGCTTGTTTTGTCAAATAAGGCCTGTATGATAGAGGGCAATAAGATAGTGAAATTAAGTTCAAAATATATTTAGTGAGGTTCATATTTTGACCGTGTTTTCCCAACTATAATTCATGAGTCTAATACAAAATCTCATTTCTTACATATTTTCGAACAGTGTGGTGTTCGGAAACAAACGTCAGAGTAACATTTTCGCTTCCTCGTCTCCAATATAAAGTTCTTTTTGGCTGATATTTGCCGCAATATTTTGTGATGACAACGGCATGGATTCCAGCTCTTGGATTCTTTCTCGCCTCTTCCTCAGAGATTTTGCTTTCTCGATAAAAATATGCATTTTTATTTTCATCGCTTGTGAAGTTTGACTTGCCTTTCGTTAACTCCTGCAAACAAAAGTTTGAAATAAATTTTCTACATTTCAGTATAAGTAATCAAGAAATGTACTGGTTCAGATTTTTCTTTGATTAATCTCGCAGATATTCCTAAGTGTTGACGACCCTTATAATCACAAATATATATATTGTTTGAAGTTTTTACAAATTAATAGAAGAAACCTAAACCGCCTAAAACAGGCATTGCATTTCAATAAACAGTCATTATTTCTATGAAGTCCAAACAAATTTAGCAGAGGATATTGAGATAAACGAATAAAGTTATACGCCTTTTCACTGCCCTATTTAAAAATGAGAATAATCTAATTCGTTAATCTGTATTTGTGTTACCGATTTCCATACGCAGATCGCTCGGTTTTACAGGCAGTGATATTTCATATTTGCTCTTGAAAGTTATGTTTTTTATCATCAAAAACATTCGGAAAAAATTGATTTGGTGAATAAATCTTTTTTTGTTAGAAGTACAGATTGTGTTTCGCCTTATATATGTGCGGGGATCGTCTTATCTCATACAAATAAAAGTTGCGCCACATCTTACCTGCATTTCAGATGTATTCAGCGCTTTATTGTATTCAGCAAAATCGTAATCTTGTGTAGATTCATCCATAGTTTGATTTTTCTCAACATCGTTTTGATCTAACATCATTAATAAAGACTGAGTAACATCTTTTTCCTCGATAATCGTATCTTCTTCAATAATGAGATGGTGATTCTCGCAGTGTGGGAGGTGAAATCGCGAAAATCGAAGAATTCCATAATCAGCTGAGTTTTCAACATCCAACATCCAAGTACAAGTAACGGAACCAGTGTAAGGAATTTCCTCGTCGGGAAATATTGGAGAACGAATATCCCCTGAAATTAACGCATATAAAAAACTAATCATTCTGACAGATAAACATACCGTTGTTCTAGGGAGCTTTGAAAGGGCAAAACTACAAGATGAAGCCCGGTTTAACCTTGAAATTTATTATATTATCCAGTTGTTGTTTTTTGATTATGCAGGCCGAATCGCGCAAATTAATCTACCTTTTTATCTAAATTCTAAAGCAATCTATATGCAACAATGTGATGTGTAAATCAGCCTTGACCGCAAAATTGTTCACGCGATTTTTGACGCATATATCTGCCACCCTAATTGTCTTTGTACCTCCAAATCTATGTCCACCACATTCATAATAATACATGCTGAAAGGAGTTTTCTTGCTCGTTGTATCGTAATCATATCCGAGACTCATTGGCGTATAGACGACATCAACCGCTTTTCCAGGTTCCGAAATAAGAGAGTATCCAAATATGTGGTAAGTCATCTGCATATTCTGCAAGATAAATAAATAAACTTAACTTAGCTTGCAAGGTAGGCACTACTCTCTAGCCTTAATGTTTAATCAAATTAAAAACCTGATGTTTATTAGCCAGTGGCTAAGACCCGTGATTTGAGAACATTGACGGTGACTAATGGCATGGTCCTATGGTCACAAGCGAATGCACCTTGTCGTGCTCATAGAATATCTTTGGCAAGGTACTGTTCCCAACATTATTGGTATTAATATTAGTAGGCTACAGTTAATTTAACATACCGCATCGCAGGGTAACAACCTTTTTTCGTGGCACCAGGACGATTCTTTCTGTATGGTGGTGCCATTGAGTTCACTTTGGAATATTTCAAGATCGCCACAACCTCCGAGAAATATGTCGTCCGTGACTACGTTGTCTCGTTTGGCAACAGTTACCTATTGAAAAAATGGTATCTCCAGATAAGCCATGTTTGTCAACGCACAGTAATTGTAAACCGTTGGTACAGTCTTTTATTTGGTGATTTGGTAGGTTTCTCAAATAATGCGCGATCTTATTCTTCTAGATGTGTATGATTTTTCTATCCGTGGGTTAGATTGAATATATTTTATTTGATTAATTTTAAATAAACGGAATTTATAAATCATAGTGATTTAAAAACAATTTTGTGTTCATATCAAACACTTTTTTATTTAATATTTATCATTTGTGATGGTGCAATTGCTAAATTTATAATTACACGGAAATACCACAGAAATTCACCAAATCATTATCGCCGTTGTTTGAAAATTTTCGGGCTTGACCGGCAACACTGTGTTTAGTGTATAAACATGACATGTTTATGTTGAAAATACGCCTGCGTCGTAGTAAAACCACTTGCTGTTTTATGTATGACGGGCGAGGCTGATTATTATCAATGTATTATCTAATATATCATTGCAAAAATCCGTAATGCTACGTAACTACGATAGAGTGATTCGCACCGCGTCATACACTACGACTTTTGGCATTTGTGGTTAGTAAATGGACCAGTACACGAACCGGTGCGCTTTATCATCAACCCTCGCTTGGGCAAGATATTCACAAGGCTCATTTCATAGGATGACAACAGAGACACAGTAGTGTAGTAAAATGAATATGTCTTCCAATCACTTTGCTATTTAATGTGGGTTTTGTCATTTAACTGATACAGCAAACTGTGACGTATTTAATCCACCTGATTGCGAATACAAGACCTATCGTTTTGTTTGTCGTTAGGAATGATTTTGCTGCTATATTTTTATTAGATGAAAATAATTTTCAAAATAGAAATATAACTAAATGATGAAAGGTACACTATTAGTTTATATTAACCTAAAATTATTCATTTTGAAATTACAGTAACAAAACCTAGAATCATCCCTTTTCAACAGTGAACGACGTCCAAATACGTCACAAAGCCATTGATTTTCTAAAAATAATCCTGACTCGAGAACGGAAGAATCTGATGTTACCTCACTTATAAAATAAACAATGCTCAAAGATTAAGTGCTTTATGCTCGGAAGTTAATGTTGATAGAATATGGTACGTCAATGAGACCTTCCCAATGATCATGACCGATTCTATTAGAGAAAAAAATTGTTGTTTTGAAATTATTTTTTTTATTCATTCAAGACGTTTGGCTTTCATAAGCTGTATCTATCTATTTCATTAATAATTCAGTTATTCATAGACCGTAGATAAATCGGGCATCAGAGTCGCGCTTGACCTGCGGCCCATGCCCATTTGTGCGTAAATTTCTAAATACATATTTTTTGGTTAGATTTCTCGAAATGACTAAAAATTCGGGAATTTTTTATCACCCAATATAGAACATTATTTTTAATATAAATTAATTTTAAAACCGGGCTACTCAACTGGCTGACTGCGGTCTGAATCCGGACCTTTCGGGTATTCGATTCGGACCGCGCCTAATTCTTAATGTTGATCATTAGACCCACTTTTTAGACCACAAGTTTCCTTCTATAAAATCACTTTATTATAGATTCAAATATATATATATGAAAAGAGCTATAACGGCTTAATAAACAATCTTGATTAGCTAATAATCATTAGTCGACTGAGAAAGTGCGAGTTTAAGGATGCCGAAATATAATTTCTGGAAAGACCGGACCCAAATATTTTTGAAGTTTTGTATGCGGATCTTCGGTAAAAATAGTTGAGTTGCCCTGTTTTAAAAGTATATATTTATATAAAAATGCATTTTGTGTCCCATTCGTCTGTGACATTCAGCTCAAAATTTTGTTATTTAAAGTTGTTGTTTGTTTATAACATTATATGGTATATATATAGCATATATAAGTATTTACATTTATGCCCATTTCAAAAATATGACTTTTCCATACATGGGCAAGAGGAACATCAGTATTCAATTTCATATAATTAGTTCCAAACAAAATTAGGTAAAATAGGCAGTGCGTTTGGATAGAAAAACCTTCTTACCATATTTGTTAATATTACTGGAAAATAGTATGTTTGTCATTAGGGTGAGATATTATGATTTTGTGAAGAAATTAGTTTTATTTCCATACATTTTTCGCATCATTTTCTGCATTTTTGTACATTACGTTCTACAATATCTTGAAATCTACAAAATCGTGGGAATAATTCTGCAATTGGTCCAATCGTTCATACAAAAGTTACGAATGACAGGACAAAACAAAATTTCAATGTTTTTCTTCTAATTAAACAATCTCATCAATCTTAATTTTCATCGTTCAATCTAGGTAAGAAATGAATCGGTTTATTCCTATTACATATGGTATTTAGATCACGTCAGATACAAACGAATAATAGTTTGCCGACTATCATTTGAAGGACAAGAGGCTACGATGAAACAAACAAGTTTTTTTTTATGTATTTAGGTGTTTTTAAATAATTTTAAATGTTACAGATACTGGATGAGAAACCTGCATTCTCCAGTACTTTCATCTTAACAAGGGTGTGTTAAATTTGGTATAAGATCATTCAAAGATATCTACTGTAGCATAACCTTTGCCTGTGTGTTAAACATAATCCCTTCATCAAATACTTCGGGCCAACATGGATCACATGACATCACATCATATGCGCCGCAACTAAAGCTACTAATTAATATCTATATTGTCCAAACTAAAAGTTGAGAAATTGTATATATCAAAATACATACCGATCCGCCTCTATACCACGGTGCAATCGTCCAGTGATTTAAAATTGGCGTTGATACATCAATTTCAGGAGAGAGGACTTGAACAACATCTGAAGCAGTTAGCGCATTCGATGAACAAATTCCATACGAATCGAAGTATTGGTCTTCATAAAGATAATCATCATCAGAAGGTAAATTTGAATAATTCTCGTCAGTTTTATTATAAGTAATGTCAGAAGTTCCGTTTGCGACATCATCGTAAGCGAAATTAAAGCTTGTGCTATTTTCTAGGTCGGGCGACCCATCGTCTGGTGGTATATCATAATAATAATAAGCGTTGTAGTCGCTGTCATTTGAAATATTTTGTACAGTTTGTTGAAGCAGAGGACTTGATGAGGTAATGTTTATTGCTGCTTGAAAAGATTCATCGAAGATGTATGCAAAGGTGAGCACTGAAAAAGTAGAATATTCTTCAGGTTAATCGGATTATAATTTGGCCTAATGGACGAAGGGCCTTGAGGCGTTAAGATTCGCTAATCAAGGACCGGTGGTTTGTTTTGACGCCAGAATGTCAAAAAGTTCAACCAATGGTCCAATTTCAATAACATGAAAATTCCAAGGTTCTTATTATCATGGCCTCTGGAACCAGTCAACGTGGCAATAGTGACCGTATGACAAATCTCCAAACGACCAATTACTTGTGTTTGGTACTGAGATTTAAAAGCTCTATATTGATTCTTACATTCTGATTGACCAACCATCCATTAGGATTAGAAGCAGCCGTGGAGGTATTCAGAACCCGTTCTAGCAATTTTGTTGTGATCAGCTAATTCAATTTGTATTTTAGAGATATGATTTCTTCATGCTTTTCGGCAATGAGGGAACCCGTTGCTAGTGAGTTCGATACAAAAGAACCCGTTCTTAAAGTTTTGAATACCATCACTGCCCAGTCACCTTAATACCAATTCAGTGGACAAAGGAGCCTGGTAACTAGAAGATCTGGCGCTGGCGTCACCTTCCACATAAGATATTTTTTTGGATTTTTGAATTCTATCCCATTTTATGTATTTTACAAAATACTGCAAGATAAAAAACATATGAAAAGATGAATGATGTTCAAGAAAATATATTTCGAACATTTCAAAAGTCAGTGTTGTGTGGAAATCGTTTGTATTCAATTATTGAATCATGAACTTTTCCTTTTTACCAGATATTTTATACAAGCCACTTAAAATATTAAATTAAAACAAGAAAAGGAAGAAACCTGTGCTTAGGCTGACAACAAAAATGTATAGTTCATTGTCGCTTTTTCGAATAAAAAAAAAACACTACAAAAAAATTCGCAGGCTTTCTCTACGTACAGTTAAATTTAAATGTATTATCTATGCCGCAGTCATGTGACGTCACCTATAACTTGTTAATACGCAAATTTCAGCTTGATCACTTTGGCGAGTCCATGCGGCCAAACATATGCAGAACAAACACTAATTATAGTACAATCTTTTTATTTTCCTTGTCTTGAATTTTGACTTCCTAATGATAGTGTCCGAAAGAAATTGGAAATTCGGAGTTACTTACGCATTTATTCGTGAGGCTGCTGCTGTTGTAACAGCCATTGTATATACATTTTTTCCGGTTACGTTACTTTAAAAACTTAGACTCTATGACTTACCATATATAAATGATTCCATTGTTGTACTCTGTTTATATTTTAAGGTATTCTTCATGGCGTGACATCTGACTGCTTTGTCGCAATAGCTTTTAGAATTACTTCCTGAATTATTGTTGGTTGCTATAGAAATTCAAAGCAATTAAGTTTAAAGCAGTTCTATAAATGCATTAAAATTTTCAAAACATTTGGGTAAGAAGCACAGTGTTCTTTTATAAATGGTTGCATATCGTAATAGGTTCTGACTCTTGCTCGTGCTGCGTGCATTTTAACGCCGTTTCCAGACTTCACACTTGTGGCCAAACTTAGCTACACTCAAAGTTTTCTAACTAATCACTACACTAGTGATGCACACTACTACTATTTCATGATGCATTTCTACGTTCTGCCATGAGATAGCTATGTAAGAGCTAAACACAATTTAGACCGAGAAAGTCACCTTGTTGGGACATTGTATTAATTTGATTAATGTTATATATCTATAAGTAAATGAATGCTGCATTTGTTATTTTGGTGAGAGTTCACTCGTAAAGGGTAACTAAGAACAATCCATCTGACAGTACCAAACAAATTTGAGAAATTATTTACACCGAATAAATTATTTATGACCATTCGTGGTGTGCGGTACATAATATCCGCTCGTACTCATCTAACTTTAAATTACTTTCTGCGGATTGCGTACTTTGACATTCCGAATGGACGCAAATCACGGTTCAAGACATTTTGATTTGAGACACTGCGGTAAAATATTTCAAACCCCCTATACGATGAATCGTATATAATATTCTCTATACATAATCTCTCACTGCGAAAGATAAAATAACAAAATGATTTAAAGAAATAACTTTACATTGTTTTAAACCATACCCATTAATATAACTCACAAATGTATTTGTTACAAACATTGAGATTCGCAATAATTAGTCGCAGTATTTCGAGCACGGCAAACTCATTGAGGTGGTTAGTAAGATATATCTATCCACAATAATTACTTCAAAATTATATTTTCTGCTATGGAACGCCTCAATTTGTATACCTATGACAGAAGATCATTAACCATCTGATTTTATATTAAATCAGTCTGCATTTACAGGTACATTTTTTAGGTTTAGAATCTTGATGGGCGCTAGATGCTTCCATTCACTACTTCCACTCCATAGAAGTAAAAAATCTGATCATCTGACATCCAATTTTTCGGTGGGAAGTTTTAATAAACTACTCACGTCTTTTCTTAGTTTCTAATCGGTGATCACTAGACCTGCATATCAAAGTAAAGATGCAACTGCACAAACCTGAAAATATGTTTTTGTTATAAAGGTCCTAGCGATCGATAATTCCAATAACTGATTTACGGGTCGCTAACAATGAATGCTTTGGCGTTCTACTGAATTGACAAAAAATACAAGAAAAATTTATATTCAACCAAATTTGAACAGTGTATGGAGATCGCTAAGGCGTGGCAAATAACCTGCGTCCCAGGCTCGTAAAATAATATTATTTCTATTACGATGTGTGTTGTAAAGCAGAACCCACGATTATTGTAAATTCCTAGAGCGTCTATCGACAGAACCCTAATAAATAGGGAAAATGTCAAGAATATTAAAATTCGCGTATAAATAAACACCGTTGAATAAAACCATAATATACATACTGTTAAAAAAACTGTAGAACAAATCGGAATTTACTATAGCCTCGGCGGTATTTGGTATACAGTTATATGTACTGACATATTAGGAATTTTGTTAAGCGTTTATATCCTGTATTTTAAGGCGATAATCGTGGCATATGGTGTTGTATTGGCGAATGATTGAATAAATATGAATTAATGTTTATTTATGTCAGATTTATTTTATTATGTAGTCGACTCATAAATATAATGAACACTAAATATGATAACATATTGTCCATGGAACTCTGTATAGATAGAACATATTTCACACACACACACACACAGATCATGAAAATATATTTTTAATATTATCGACCGGATAAAAAATTTTATGCTGTAAATTTAGCAAGCCCGACTGTTAGGAATTAACGGACAGTCTACCTAAGATCATAATTTCCGCTTTGAGTTAAACGGTAATCCTATTCTTCCATCCGACAACGGTCTGTCTGAGTAATGGTTACAGGTAGAGAATTAGGTTTTGGTACCAAATCTTAGGGTTTCAAAATACTGAATTTTACATCTTTACCGGGAAGAATTACAGGCTTAGTCTCAATATCCATTATTTTTTAAAGAATCATTCCTTCCTATAAAATCTGATCAGTATAAAACAGGCATGGCGAACCTTTTTTCAATGAGTGGGTCGAAAATTATATCAGTATCACGGAGAAAAAGACTGTGAGTCATAGATATTTAATCAATGTCTGTGTGAATGAGAAACTTACTGTTACATATTATTCTCTACAAGTCATACTAATAATTGATATTGAGTAGTTTTAAGGTTTACACATGTAGCACATAATCAAAACAGAGGGGATTTCTGGAAATCGATTTGATTGAAATTCATGCGCGGAAACACGGATTCACATTAATATGAATTACCGAAAAACGCTTATTATATTTCTTAGGCAAATTTTTCCGACGGTTTCAAAAGATTTTGTAATGGAATTCCACTTCAATAAAAAAATTCTCTCCTGTCGTTCACTCGCATCAGATACTACCATCCAGCTCAATTGTTATTTTAGATTTCTAGCAATAAATTTTGTTTTTTAAACGGCATTGTATGCAGGAAAATAATTAAGTAGTATTCACTTATCGTACATCTTCCAAAAGATTGATTCGTACACCTACGAAAGTTGACCTCTGCTACAAGATAAGTCACTTTGCGGGTCAGCGAAAAAACTCGGTGGATCATTTTGTGATCCGCTGATCAGTGGTTCGTCATCTCTGGTATTGAACGAGGACACATAGTTCTAGTATCTAACAAAGGCAGCTAGTTTGTTCGGTCGGTTGTAACGTAAAAGAGTCAGCAAAATAGCTCGACACGAGAAGATTTATATATATATATATATATGTGAATGTCTCCGATTCCTGGAATTTTAGCGCGTCAAGGAAAAATTCGATTTGCCTGAATCAAATACATGTCAACCTTCTTTTTTTCCCACTGATACGATTTTACTGAAATATTTAAATCATACGTTAGTCCCCACCTGCATTATTCATAACGAATTTAACGATTTATTTGATAAACTTTCAACTATTTATACTTTTAATCTTTTTTGAATTGATTTCTTTCGTTTTCTAATGTTTCCCGAAGATATATTCAATAACAATGTAGTCTGGTAATCCATGAACATTGATTCGTAAAAAGTGCTTCTTAGAAATTATCGGTAAACATCTGAATTTAAATATTGTTTTTTAAATCATTAGTCCATGACGTAATTATGAACAAGAAAAGAAGCAGAATCCTCTTAGTTAAAAGCTACTTTCACATATTCTGTCAACTCAATGAATTAATGATGAACTGAATTGATTTGACTGAGACATTGAATCAGTTATACAACGGAATAAAACTTCAGCGCTACAAAGCATTGTAATTATATTAAACATTGCTTAAATTATTTTACGTAAATGTCAGTATATACACTAATCAATGTGTCAAATGTTAGGTCAAGCAAACTTTCTATAACCCAATGAGCATCGATTATTGCAATTCGATAGTATATCAAACTTATATTTCAGGTTATTTTATTTTTAATTACCATCAGAAATCTGGAAAAAACGTCGAAATACGCTTTTACCTGTCACACTAGATATTTATTCAATATGTTTTCTACGGAGAATGATTAAAATTAACGTTGAAAGTAGTCAACTTTAACCACTTTTATAATTGTATTAAAATAAAGAATCAGAAGTCAAAACGAGGCAAGTGTGATATCATGTACAATGATTGAGTTTTATGGCTTGGGTAGGATATATGAAAAATGTTTCGGCATTCGTTTTAGCTTTTTAGCGAGTAATTCTTTACCTCAAAAACCCAGCACTCAAGAGGCAAAATTTTCAAAAAGCTTGAGGAAAGTGATAACCATCACAAAAAAATGGAAAAATCGAGTTTTAAACTCAATGAATCTAACCATAAACTATAATTGAGCAAAATTATTTCTTCGGCAATCGGCAAGAGTTGTTACCGAGTTCGCTTTTGTAAAATTTAGGTCAGAAAATTTTACCATGAAACTGATATAGCATTTAGAGTTATACACTCTTCCCAAAATGGCATTATGGAATAATAAAACCGTGGTTTTATCATAAGCGTTTTAGCGAAGTGTTCAAATATACTGTAATGCGTTCAAATACTTTACCATAAACAAATTAATATATCTCAAATAGAAGGTAAAACCCTTCAAAATGCGACTGTAAATAAACCTTAAATTCTTATATAATTTCAATAAAAGGGAAGATAATATTTGAAGATGATTTTCAAGACACAAACACCTGCTAATTTCAGAAGAAAAATCGTTATTCGAAAAGGTAAATCGATATCCATGACCCTTAGAAGAGATTATGTTGATTAGATCTATTTATAAGTGACACTTATTGCTTATGGTAATCGTTTGGCTCGGAGATCGATGCGACCAGTTGCCAGTTGGTCTCAAAAGGATCCAAATACTTGGAAACAACAAAAATAAAATAGTAAAACAATGACAAAGCAATGGGATTAGGAAGGAAAAAAAATTATTTTCGAATTTTACAATCACTTGACTTCATCTAGACATCTATTTTATAGTGTGTTAAATTATTTGACATTTGTCCCAGTATGTGTTCTCTGCTATTATCTTCACACTCAGATAAATATTCTGTGATGCATGAAATAATCGAAGTAGATCTGTATTACACTGTTTTGTAATATTTCGAAAATATGATACATTATTCATAAATGTTTTAGCACGTTTTGGGTGGGAATCTATACTTTGTTATTGAAGAATCGCGATTTGATTATTTTTTTTAAAAAGAGTTATAGCATATGTCAAGAGGTGAACGCAAAAAAAATTCGATGATTTTACTATCCAGTATTCTTTCTGGTAGCGCGGCAAATGCTTGATTTATTTTCTGCGAGAAGCTGAGGTGGCGAAATCTGCCGTGTGGCGTCACAATATATAACTTTATCTTCGTTAGGAGTATACCGAAGATTGCGACTATGATTTGAAAATCTTGGACGAAAGACGAGATCTTCAGAATACTGAATTTTGATACACTAACCCCCAAAAAAAATTATTAAAAAACAAAAATAACATCAAGCATCCGACACTTTGTTTGTTTTGCACCAATTGTGCCACGAAACAAATATGCTGGGTAATTAGTATAATCCGCCTAGCCTGCTAAAATTTCTACAAGTGCCTTTTGTTTTACGATAACATCTTAAATGCTGCAGAGTTAGGTTAGAGTATGTCACCCACAAAAACAACAAAATACAATGGGATAAAAAAAGATGCAGTGTTGCAAATTGAATACATACCGTAAAAAATTTACACATTTGTACCGTCGTTTGGAGCGGAAAAATTTATCAGTCGTTTTGACTGTATCTTCTGGCAAGGTCGATTCACCAGGTAAAGACTGCAAGTAATTGTGAGGAATTAGTTCAATTGTT